GTTCTCTTCCCAGTCTCCCTCCATAAGCCCACTGTCTTATAGGGAGTCTCACCCTATCTCAGTAGGACTTTCAGATGCTTCCCCATTCTGCCCAGGCTGGCCTTTCTCCACATTGTAAGACTGGGAATGCATCACGTCTGTGTACATTGCTTGGAACACTTCACTAACTTCCTTTGCTGTTGAGATCAAGTACTGATTCTTTCCATGGCACATCATATTGCTCTGTTTGTGGCCAAACTATCCATTCACTCTGAACATTGTTGCCCAAATGTGCGATGGTATCTTCACATCACTCTTTTTCAATGATCTTTCCTTTCTTTTTATTTATTTATTTTGTTTGTTTGTTGGTTGGTTGTGGGGTCTGAACTCTGGGCCTGGGCACTCTTCCTTAGCTCTTCAGCTCAAGGCTAATGCTCTACCACTTGAGCCACAGTGCCACTTTTTCTGCTTATGTGGTGCTGAGGAATCGAACCCAGGGCCTCATGCATGCAAGGCAAGCACTCTACCACTGAGCCACCTTCCCAGCCCTTTTCTTTCTTTCTTTTTTTAATATTTTGTTTTATTGTACAAATACTGTACAGAGGAGTTACAGTTACATAAATAAGGTAATGAGTACATTTTCTATTGAGACATTGTTACCTCCTCCTTTGTTTTTCCCCTACCATCCCTTCCCTCCCCACATCCCCAACTCCTCCCACCCCCCACTCTCCACCCCCCCATGACCTTTCTTGCTAGGCATCAATTCTCTGTTTTTCACGAGGAGGAAATTTCCCCCTTCTTCAAGATTCAACTGAAGCCTAAATTCCTCTGTAAAGACTTTCTAGAACCTCTCCTAATCTTGTGGCCTTAATTTATTACTATTTCCTTGGTTCCCCAAGCTCTATGTTTGTATCTCTGTAATAGTAACAGTCACTCATCTAATGATTAGATATCAGTCCCTTGAAATAGAGATGGAGAGTACTATGAGGGCGGGGGCTATTCCATATTTATCTTGGTGTTCCTACTAAAGGACCCAATAGCTTGACATATAAAGGTGACTCAATAACCGTTTAGGGATTGAGTGAATGTCGTTCTCTGTCTGAAGTCCACTGTGATAGTCATCTGCAAAGCAGCTTATACAGGCATAAACATTTGTGTCAAAGCTCAGTATGTTCAACTTTTAGTACATAAGATGATATTGCCCTACCCTTGCTTGATTTCATGGGCATTTATAATGGTGGAGAGAAGTAAGAAAAAGGAGAGAAAGCAAGTATGTTATGTTGTCTTCAAAGACCTTAACTTTGTAGCAATTTCAACTGTCTAATTTTTATGTGTTCTGAAAGAACAAATATCCCAACAGCAGTAGCCAATCCTAGAGTTTTGTTAATGTCCGAGGCCAAGTAAGTTGATTTTATCATCTGACTTCCTGCGTCTTAGTAAGTAATGCAGTACTTGTAGTTTTGCTTGGTTAAATGCAAAGTAGCCATTTGAGTATTGACCATGTAGACCAAAAAGACCCAAAGACAGAGATTGGCTAAGGGCCTAGCTGCTGATAGTATTCCTCTTGAAATGATCGGATGGTGTGTGTGTGTGTGTGTGTGTGTGTGTGTGTGTGTGTGCATGTGTGTGTAGTTTGTTTACACAGCAAGTGGTTATGACTGTCATTTGTGTTTTGATTAACCTATAAAGGAGAAAAGTTGAACTCCATTGGTCTGGATTGGAGAGTAAAGGATTATGTGCTTAATCAGAGCCTAACACTATCATGGGCAGGGCAAGAAACCTGGAGAAAGAGCTCATAAAGCAAACTGTCTAGGGGTATAATAATAGCAGTTCTTGGGCTGGGAAGGTGGCTCAGTGGTAGAGCGCTTGCCTTGCATGCCTGAGGCCCTGGATTTGATTCCTCAGCACCACATAAGCAAAAAGAAAAAAGCCGGAAATGGCGCTGCGGCTCAAGTGGTAGAGCACCTTGAGCTGAAGACCTGAGGGACAGCATCCAGGCCCAGAGTACAGGCCCCATGACTGGACCCCCCCTCCCCCAGAAAAAAAAATAGCAGTTCTTTGTACTTCTTTTTTATTTTTTTATTTTTTAAAATTCTGTTTCTTTGTACTTCTTTATTCAATAACTTTTATTCCAGTGTCTTTGGGACTTTTATAAGATTAAATAGGCAAGAAGATACCTTAGATTCAAAGGGAAAAAAAATTCAGGACTTGGTTGAGAATGTGGCTTAGTGGTAGATTGCTTGCCTAGCATGCATGAAGCCTGGGTTCAACTCATCAGTACCACATACACAGAAAGTGACACTGTGGCACTGTGGCTCAACTGGTAGGGTTCTAGCCTTGAGCAAAAGAAGTTTAGGGACAGTGCTCAGGCCCTGAGTTCAAGCCCCAGGACTGGCAAAACAAAACAAAACAAAAAGCAGGGCTTAGTGTTACAAACTTTGATCACAAGAAACAGGGTATTTAGAGTGTAGAGTATAAGCTGACAATGGGACAGTCTCAAACTCTTGGTTCCTCCAAATGGGGAAAGAGTGGGATTCTGTAAGTATCTCTTCCATTCTATTTCCAAGATTGTAGCATTTGTGTTAAAGAGAGAGGAGGGAGGCACCAAGAAAAGAGGAGAAAATAAAAGATGAAAGACAGCATTTATCACGAGAATGGCACCTATAGACCACCTAAAGCGGGGCCATCTAAGATAGACTTTTGTGTTGTTATTTTGTAGTACTGGAGATTGAACCCAAGGTCTTGTGCATAATAGCCAAGTGCTCTACCACAAAACTGTATCTCTCCAGTCCCAGAGGCCAGCTCACATTAGATTTGATATCAGTGCACTGTTAGGATGTAAACTTGTACCTGTGTTCCATACATCAATGCTGTAGATGAGAGAAGGGTGAGGAGTTTAGAGGAAAAGGAGTCTGTCACTGTCAGCCTCTGGGAGTTAGCACTTGTGGAAGGATGAGATGACCTACCTAGTTAGGAGGGAAGAGGACAGAGTAGAGAGACTGGGAAAACCACAGGCCACTCCTTTCTCCAGAATTACAAGAGGCACTGAGTTATGTTTAGGTTGGAAAGACTGGATACACAAAATTCCCATCCATGTGAGACAGGACGGGACGTTTACTTGACTCTCAAAGCATGGGATACTTGTAGTGAATTCTGACTTAAAGATGAACTTCATGAGAAACAGCCTTACAACCATACTTAATGACTGAAGGATGTTTTCACAGATGGGTGTTTAGAACCCTCTTTAATAGCACCCACAAAAAACCTTTCCAGTTTTAATCCTAAGGGTAGCTAGGTGGGTTTAAGTTGTCTTCTAGACTCTGAACTGACCTTGTTTCCTTCTCTGACTTGGTTGCTGGATCCCAGAAAGGTTGATTTACAGCTATGTAGTACCTTCCAGCATTCAACTTGGATTTGAACTTTTTTCTTGATTCCATTTTATGGCTTACTTTTGGCATTTTTCTCTGACTCAGCTTCCTTGTACACTTTTCTCCTTTTCTGCTCTATTTTATTTTATTGATTTTGCTGTTCTTAATTGATTCCATGGACGAATGAAATAGTATGTACTTACCATGCACATCATGATGTTTTAAAGTATAGAAACATGATGGAATGACTAATTAAGACATTAATTTTTCACATAATTATTTTTTGTGCTTAGACACTTTATAACTATCCTATTTGTGTCTTCCAGCCTTTGTCCAGGAGTACCTATATCTCTCAACAAACATAGCAGCTGATAATCACCATTTTACTCTCTACTTTTCTGAGCTCAAATTGTTTTTCGGGTTCCACATGGGTGAGATCATATAGCAATAGACTTTCTAGTCTTACCTACTCCACTTAATGTAAAAATCTTTATGTTCACCACATTACTTTAAATGATAAGATCTCTCTTTGGTATGGCTGAGTAATAATCTATTACATATAAGTACCATTGATTCCATCTTCTGGCTATTGTAAAAAAAAAGACCCACTGCATTAAACATGGTAGTGGAGATATCTCTTCTACATATTGAATTTAATTTTCTTTGGCTATATAATTAGTTTCTTCCACTTATTTGAATTTACTATACCATAGATTTCATTAGCCATCATAATCTTTTAAAAAAAAATGGAGGGAGGCAAAATGTAGAATCCCCTAAGCTTTTCCAGAAAATTTAGATTCTTATTTTTCATTTATTATTTTTACATATGTCATAGTATATTACTATTAAAATGATATGAGGCCGAGTTTCCTCAGGGGCAAGTAGTCTTGGTAAATGCCCTGAAATCAAAGAGACTGAAAATCTCAGAGGAATGATATACTATAAATTGACAAGGGAAAAAAAGTGATAATGACTATTGTACCATAGATCAGGTCAAATTGCTTGTTTACAAAGCTTGCCTTTTCTCCACAGCTGAAACTGATCAAGGCAGAGACTAGCAACAACCTGAAGGGACAACTTGAGGTGTTTCTGTCAGGACTAAGCCATTCCATAAATATATGTCTCCTGAGACAACTATAGATAGAGTCGGTCTAATTGAGTTGAACTTTTAACTCTACATGTTTTTAGTTATTAGAAGTACACTGGAATCTGATGCTGATGGTTCATGTCTGTAATCTTAGCTACTAAGGAAGCTGATTTCTGAAGATCTTGATTCAAAGCCAGCCCAGGCAGACAAATCAGAGAATATTGTTTCCAATTTACCAGCAAAATCCCAGGAATGGAGGTATGGCTCAAGTGGTAGAGCACCAGCCTTGAGCCAAAAAAGCTAAGGGAGAATTTGAGGCCTTGATTTAGGCCCTAGTACTCTCTCTCTCTCTCTCTTTCTGTCTCTCTCCCTACCTCCCTCTCTCCCTCTCTCTCCCTCGCCCCCTCTTTCTCTCACACACACATAGTGCTAGAAATAATATTCTGTGCATTATTTGTCTTGTAAGAGGTTGTTTCCCATCCTGAAAACATGTTATTATGTTTGGCTTAATGCCATCATTGCTTATGAATGCTTACCAGATTGAAAGAAAAACACAACTCTCGTAGTGCCAGAAACACAAGCTACAGATTTTATTGGACTCTAAGGGAGAAAAGTGGGGAATGTAAATATTTTAGTAAAAATCCATGACTCTTCTAAAAGAACCAACTTTGGCATTCGTAGCCCCCCAGTCAAGATATCTCCTGTACTCCCCGGGCCTCAGCAGATACTGCCTTCCCCTGTAGCTGGGCATCTCGTACAGAATCCAGCTGCCCTCCAGCACATTGAGGGAGTGGATTTCATTGAAGTGGAAGCGGTCCTGGAGAGAGATACAGTCCTCTGTGATCTCTGACATTTGTCCTCTGAACTCATCTCTCTCGTAGATCCTCATTCTGTAAGTGCCCGAATGCTAGGGTGGCAGACAAAAGAGGAAAAATACATGAACTAAAATGGAGAGAAACCAAAATTCTAGCCCCTGTACCTCCACGGCCACACCTACTGGGAAATCTTTGAGTCCAAATTTGCACAGGCACATGGTACAGTTCAGGACTCTTTCTCACCCCCACTAGCCCAACTCTAAGAAATCCCCGGACTTATTGGCAGAACTAGGAACAGAACCCAGTAACTCTTCAGCCTCTATCCGTTAGCCGATGATCCCTGGGAATTAAAATTTGCTAAAAATAAAGATTATCATATCATTTCAAGTGCTTGTCGTTTGAAATCTTACCACTCAAAGGAGATAAATGATAGAGTCTTTGTTCAGGCAAGTATCATTTTATATATATCTGATTAAAAAGGTATCCACATTAGCTATTTTCTGTAAGAAGATACAGTTGCTTTTACGTAGGCTATGAAGTTTGAGATTATTAAACTCTTGTGACAAATAGGATGATACAGTTCCCTTATCTGCTTTGAAAACCTCAGATTTAGTTCAAAGCTGAACCCTCTGACTCTCAGCTTCTGCTGTGTCTCTTGCTCTCAACTGCTCCATCTCCCTCTACAGCAAAATCACGATCTTCAATAAACTCAGTTTTGATGGTACTAGATCCCATGCCCCTAGCCCCCAGTCCACTCTCCTGGAAATTCCAGACTCACTTCCCAGAAATTACTGAATCTCAAAATTTAGCTTGGGATCTGGCCTTGTGCTTTATACCAATAAACTGAACTAATATATACTGACCTTTATATTAGAATAGAAACCAGAATACAGGGCAGAACCATCAAGTGGACAAGTAAGGCCAAAAGTACCAGTGTCTGCCATCAACTAAACGGTCCTAGATTCTCTTTATGCAAATGTGATACATTGGTTTTCTGGTTTGCTAGAGCTTGGAAGGAACAGAAATTATGTCTATTTTTTTAAAGTAAATTCAGTCTCTTTTATATCCTACTTCACCCCACTCCCACCCCTTAATCATTCCCTAGTCTTCTCGTCTTTATTTTATTTAAAAATGTAAAATCTGGGAACATGATTGAAAAAAATATATATACCCACATGAGACTTGGTGAGGAATGGCTCCAGCAGGCACTCTTCTGAACTGCATGAGCTAGGTATGGCTTCTTCCTGCTCTCTAGTTGGAACTCTTTGGTTTAAGATAACTTTTTGGACTAACGCAATTTGCAGAGACTGATCACAAAGACAGAGTCACACTCACTTGCGGGATCAGGCGGCAGGAGCGGATGGAGTCGCTGAGGCCCATCCACTGCTGGTAGTCGGGGTAGTCGCCCCGCCGCAGGAAGTACTGGTAGCCCTGGTAGTTGGGGCGCTCGTAGAGCATCCAGCAGCCGCTGTCCACGCGGATGGAGTTGCAGCGGCTGAAGTAGGTCTGCAGGTTGGGGCAATCGGTGCTGCATTCATAGCAGCGGCCCTGGAAGCTCCGGTCCTCGTAGAAGGTGATCTGCAATGGGAAGACATAAAGCATGCGAGATTTCCCACCCCCCACCCCCTCACCTGCTGAGGATGCTCCAACAGGGCAAAAGCTGGACATCAGGTACCCAGGATTTACCTTTCCCATTTTGGAGAAAGGAAGCAGGAGCTGTTCCCTGTGCTGTGTGGCACTGGGGGACCGCGATGGTATATATAGCAGCCCTGACTGCTGCCTCCACAGGAAATCACACAAAAGGGCCCATTCCAGAGAGTAAGGGGATTTGCATGGCCCGCCCTCTCCCCTCCCTCTCTCTGGTCGCTGGGGTTGGCTGAATGGTTGGTTTCCTCTCATTCTTTCTGGTAGGTTCGTGTTGCTCTGATTCACTAAAGCTGTTGTTGCCACCAAAGTGGAAAAAAAAAAGAAAAAAAGAAAAAGGTCTCTACTCTTTTAGTCGAGCAAAAGGGTGAGCGAAACTCAATCCCTATGCATTTATTTTATAGCTTACTCTGCTTAATCGTCTTTTCCAAGGTAATCAAACTTGGCCCTGTAGTCTGCTTTTGTTGTTGTTGTTATTTTGAAAGAAATGTTTTTAAAACCTGAATTGAAATAGTAAGGAATCTTAAGGAAAATGTAGCAAAAGAAGTAATCTATGACAGTGCTTTTAAAAAGCATGGTGTTTAGATCAAAGTCAAGATTCCACAATTATCTCTGTTAATTGGGGATATTTGAATAGCATCATTCCTCCACTGGGCTCCTGAAGGAGAGCACAGGTATGGCCTTCCTCCATTTTCTTATCTTGGGTAAGGTGCTGGCTGGATTCTTTCTGCTACTGGTGGCTGGTCAGCCTGCCTGTCTTCAAATGATCTTTCCTTTTTAAAAATTATCTATTATTTCTTTTTTACTTTTAATATTTTATTTTTATTATCTATTATTTCTTTTTATTATCTATTATGTATGATTTTATTTATCTATTAAAACGCTGCTAGCCAAGCACCAGTGGTTCACGCCTGTAATCCTAGCTACACAGGAGGCGGAGATCTAAGGATCAAGGTTCAAAGCCAGCCAGGGCAGGAAAGTCTGTGAGACTCTTATCTCCTGTAAACCACCAGAAAACCAGAAGTGGTGCTGTGGCTCAAGTGGTAAGGAGCTAGCCTTGAGCCTTGAGCTGAGGGACAGTGCCAGGCCCAAAGTTCAAACCCTACAACTGACCAAAAACCCCAAAAAACAAAAACCTTGCTCCCTTGATGAGAGTGATTTGAGGATTGTAAGGAGCGACGCAGAACCTCTTCAGGTTCACACTACCCATGTTTTCAGATTTGAGGTGGCAGCGTGGGTCTCGTGCTATAGTACAGGAGCCCTGATGTTCTGGAGTCAATTTCAAAGAGTTTTAACTAACAGGACAATTTTCAAAAATGATACCAGGAGGGTTTTTTTTCTGTCTTTTTTACTCTTATTCTTTCACAAATATAAACTGGCATTTCCCAGTGGCCCCATAGGTACAATTTTTTTAAAGCAATTTTTTCTTTGCAGTTTTGGAAGTATAGTACTATTTATTTAGCATGTAATGTGTGTGCTGACCAATACTCTTAAGCTCAAGACAGGCAAACCTGTACCTACAATACGTATTGATTTCAACAAGGATGTCATTGTCTCTTCCAAGGTGAAAGGGGTCCAAGGATGCAACCTACCATCAAATAGCTGGCTGGGGCTTTACTGGGGCTCACACTGGTCTATCTGCTGGTAACCAGAAATTTTTAGAGGAGTGGTAGCTTGTTAAGAAGGAGGAAGTCCATAAACCTCAAGTTTGCTCTCAGGAAATAATACTTTCTATAAACTTCTTATGCTAGAACTAGGGTGGCTGATGTCAGGCCAAAACATTCCGTCTACTTGATGGCTAAACATCCCTTCCATGGGCCTACAGTAGACAGTAATGTGGAATACAATCATCTTCATTCTTTCTGCCTATTCCTGTCTCTCCACACACATACACATGCTTCTACTCCAGTCATTCTTATTCCTAATCTGACAGTTTTTTCCTTCTCTGGCCTTGGACCGACCAGCCAACCCTCTTAACATCTATTTGTTACTTCTATATGTGTCCTGACCTTAGATTACTTTTTGTTCTACACAAAGTAAATAATAGGTGCATGTTCTTAAGGTTGCCTACTGGGAGGATTTTCCTCACTGCTGTTTTCAGAGCCACTCCCTACTAAGGTACCATCACACAGTAGCATACCACTGAGGGCTTGTACCCACTTAATGGAACCAACTCATCAGGGAACTAAACTCACCTGCCTCTTTCCTCCTTTGTCAGCTGGCCACAGGTGTCCCCTCCTGCACTCTCTCCCTACATCAATTGTTAAGTGTGCATTGATAGTTATCTTAAGCAATGGTAGTAGACTTGTTGACCCTGTAGGTAACTTAGAGCTAGCATAATCACTAGTCAAGGGGACTAGGACTATGTGTCACTGGTTGCCCAGTAATTAAATGTGGGCTGCCACTGTGAAACAGTATAACCTTGAGCAAGCAAGGTCCCTTTAATAGAGGAAAATTCCTTGAGTCAGACTCAGTTTTCAGCTGTTAGCATCAGGGAAAAAGTGTCTCAGTCCTGAGTGAGAGTCTGGGCAGATCATAATAGTGCCCACTCTAAAAACAAAATAAGAATTGATCACAATACAACTCCCGTGCCCCTCCCACCCCAAGATAATGAGAGCTGACATTTTGGTGTTTATCTTTCAGAGTTTTGTGTTTTGAAAATCCATTTAGGGTTGTATTATTTAGACTATGTAGTATACTCTTGTTTTCACCTAAATCATCTTTTTTTTTTGTGGCAATCATGGGGCCTGAACTCTGGGCCTGGGCACTGTCCCTCAGCTCTTCAGCTAAAGGCTAGTGCTCTACCACTTGAGCCACAGTGCCACTTCCACCTTTTTTTCCCTGTTTATGTGATGCTGAGGAATCGAACCCAGGGCCTCATACATGTGAGGCAAGCACTCTACCACTGAGCCAACCTCCCAGTCCGAAATCATCTTTTAAATAATGCTAATCAAGATAATCATATTTTAGTTATTTTGGGGTGAAGAAAAATTGAATGAAAGAAACTCATTAAGTAGGGAAGGGCCCACAGTGGGAGGGGGACAAGAGAGAATGATGGGATGTGTGAATGTAATCACAGAATGTTTTCTGCGTGTCTGAAAATGTCACTCCAAAGCCCACCAATGGCAGTACGCAGATTGTTCAAAGAGGGCCCTGGAAACAGATAGGAGCCATTGCAATGGGGTTTTGCCCTGAACAGCAGAAATTGGATTCAATTCCAACATGTGCAAGCGGACATCTTGAACTGAAGAGCATACACCAGAGAGTCAGTGGGTGGAACATTACTAAGAGGAAATGTCAGGGATATAGGGTTTCTGGCTAACCTGATTTGTTGGAATTATTGCTCATGTCAGGCTAGGGTCATTAGCATAATCAAACACTCCATTGCCTTATCAGAGTTCTTGTTCAAACTGGGTTCTATAAGACAGAGAGGGAAGCCTAAGGTTAGACATTACCAGGCAGGGAACTTAGAGGTGTCTGATTCAAGTTTTAGTCAAAGGAGAGTCTTTACCAATATTTTAATAAATTTTAAAGATGGCATTAATTTATAAATTGATAATAGGTTTGTGTTTCTGAGCTTACTACCTAGGTGTTTCCACCTTTTCTTGTGGTTTGGGGATTAAATGTGGTCAATAGATAATTTCACATACAGTATTGGAACATTTTAATTATTTCTTTTTGTGCCAGTTTTGGGGCTTGACCTCAAGGTCTGGTCACTATCCTTGATCCTTTTTGCCCAAGACTATAGAGTTCTACCACTTAAGCCCCACCCACCTCCACTTCTGGCTTTTTTGTTGTTGTTTTTGATAGTTAATTGGAGTTAAGAGTCTCATGTACTTTCCTTTCTGGGCTGGCTTCAGACCATGAGCCTCAGATCTCTTCCTCTTGAGCAGCTAGGTTTATAGGCATGAGCCACTGGAGCCTAGCTTAGAACACATTAACAATAATTGATCATTTTTGTTTGATCATTTTGATCAAATGATGGCTATGTATATAGTCAAATGATGACTGTGTGTGTGCGTGTTTGTGTGTATGATCTTCAACAGCTGGAGTGGAAGGAGTTAATGGAATTCAGCCACTGCTGGGGGTTGGTGTAGCTGCCTCAGCCTAGAGCATCCATCAAGAATAGGATATGGAGGTGAGTGGTACTTTCAGGATCTGGCTTGGGGAAGGACCCAATCAAGTTTCTGTAGTTGAGTAGGAGCACAGGTAGAAGTGGTCTCTGCTGCACTCACAGGGGCTAATTTCAAGGGAGTTGTGATATGCAGAGAGCTCCTCCCTGGACCGTCAGTGGGAGTTCATGACAAGCCCCTCCTCTACACTACCTCACTACAGGTGGCTGAGTCAGCGTGGAAAAGCCAGTTTTGTTCATCTGCTGTAGCACAGGCTTAGAAAGGTGTGTGCTTGCTTATGTATGTGCGTCCATGGTCCTGTGATTTCAGCTTGATTTGACTAATGGTGGAATCTCTCCCTTTTTCTCATTTCCCTATCAAAAATGTAAGTGTCTTGTGTGTGTGTGTGTGTGTGTATATGTATGTACGTATGTATTTGATTCTTCATTACAATAGAGCTAGGTATTCTTCCTAATAAAATGCTCAGAGTTTGAAATGGTGTGGAGAATGAAAATCAATATATTAAGAACAAATCAAGACGATAGATACACTGTCATTATTCCTTAACTGACCCAAGGTTCTTCTATGCAAGAAATAGATGTCCCCCACTGTACCTGACCTGGGTCCAGACCCCTGTCCTTCACTCAAGACCCTGAGACACTCAGGCCTCTGCTTGTTGTATCCCTCTGGGGTCTCTTGCCTGCTCTAAGGGCAGTGGCCCTCTGCCCCAGTTTCACTCCCCTTTTTCTTTCCTCTCACCCCCCTCCCCCGGCTTGTACCATCCATGCAGGCATGCGTGCGTACATGCCTTTATGTCCACTTTCACCAGCTTTTTTTTTTTTAACCAATTTCCAGTGGCTAAAATCTAACCACCCCAACTTCAAAGGAAGATAGATATTTTAGAGATAATGAAAAGTGATCGTTTTGCATATGCAAGGGAATAAGAAAAAGTGAGGTATATGATTTTTTAACTGTATTGGGGTGTGTGAACCCGTTTTTAAATGAGGTTTATTATTTGCTGTCATGGTGAATGCGAATCAGAACCAGTAATGATCCCTTGGTCTTCTAAGTTAAACCTAGTTCATGCATCCCTTCATTGTGTTCTTTTTTAAAATTATTATTATTACAATTGTTTTGTTATTTTTGTTGTTGTTATTTGGGGTTTCTTTGTGTTTTGTTCTTCTTTGCAACTCTCCACACTAAACTCGCAATATTGTGGAGAGAAGCCATGGCTGAACTCTCCGCTGCAGTGATGTAGCAGGGATTGGCCCCCAGCTGACGAGGGGGGCCGCAGCTCACAAGAATCACTATTGATTTAAAGCTTTATTTAGCCTTGATCTGTACCCTCGTAGTGAATAAGGTCTTGCCACATTTTATTAGTGAGGTTGAGAAATGTATGATTTGTTTGTTGTGTTGCCTGCCTCCCCAATATTAAACTGTGAAATTTGTGATTTGTTGAAACCTTGGGTTAATCATAGCTTAGTTTGCATGTCCAGCTAATTTGTTTCTATACATTTTGTTTGATTCTCTTTCTCCTTCTCTCAGGGCTTTTACAAGAAAAATAAGTGTATATGTATATATGCGTATGTGTGTGTATATATATGCATACATACATGTATATGCATATATATTTATGGATCTTCTGAGAAGTTTTTTTTTTGAGGTGCAAGTTTTTTTCTCTCTCTCTTTTTTTCCTCTTTGATTAATGGACACAGTGCTGAGATTCAATCACTACATGAAAAACCTGGCTGTGAAAACAAAACAACTCCTTCCCAGAGGGGGGCTGTTTTCCAAACAATGTCAGATTCATCCTGCATCACTCTCTTTCTTCAAGAAAGAAATTCATCTAGTGATTTCAGCCCATGCATTAAACAGGAAACAATAATACGTGTGTAGAATTCATACTTTTTTTTTCTAAAGGGAACTTAAACACTGCTGCTACATGTTATGTACAAAACTGGTTTATGCCACATGAACAGAGAATCACAAGTTTGGTTTTGGTACTTTTTGTTCCTCTTTGTACTCAGTTGTATAGAACTTCCAAATTCAGAATGAAAAGAAAGCTGTTCTGTATCAAACCATCTAAGCAATAAATGTTATATTTAACAAAAAAAAAGAACAAATCAAGAGAAATGTCTTCTCTCACTGTTTTGCTGCACTTCTATGGTTAAGTGAGGGAAACAGTGGGAGTAGAGAAAATTCATTCTGAAAAGTGAGTATATTTGTTTTAAATTTTGGTAGCCCATAGGCACTAAATAGAGAGATTTTTTTCCCCTCCCCTTCATTTTTGCCTCTTAAATTCAGGGGTTTGTGATGGTCTTCAGCTATGGAAGTAAGTCATTCCTTAAGACTGGAACACCCCATCTTCCCCTTTCCCCTGAAGCTTGCCACCTCCCACTGACACCCTTTGGGCTATCTCTTCTTAGAACCAGCCCAGTAGTGGCTTTCCCTCCTCTGAGCTTTATCACCTCAAGGGCTCTCAATTCATATTCACCACTGTCTTTCTCATAAACATTCTCCTTCCCTGGTCTCCTTCTCTCCAAGGAAGTCATAAGCTCAAGGATAAAGTTTCTACCCTCTGAATTACTTCTCAATTAATTATGTGGATAAACAAAGCTCTGGCTGGGCGCTGGTGGCACATGCCTTATAATCTTAGCTACTCAGGAGGCTGAGATCTGAGGATCCAGGTTCTAAATCAGCAGCGCAGGAAAAGTCCATGAGATTCTTATCTCCAGTTAATCACAGAAAAAGACAGAGGTGGTGCTGTGGCTCAAGTGGTAGAGCACTAGCTTTGAGCAAAAGGAGCTCAGGGACAACACCTAGGCTCAGACTGGAAAAAACCAAAACCCAAATAAAAAACAAACAGAGCTCCGGAAATTTACGAGACATGCCATCTAACTTTTCCTATTTAAACAGAACATGTATGTTGTTATTTATCCCAACTAAAAGTTTATAATTTATCCTGTATGTTCCTTCAGCAGAAAGGAATCTTGCTCAAAGGAAGACATTTTTAGAAACAGCTATCTTGAGATATAATTCACTGTCTATGTCGTTTCTATAACTGAGTAGGTTTACAGTTTATTCCCAGTGCTGTGTTCACAGATGTGTATACTACTTACCATAATTTGGAACCTGTTTGTTACCATTAATAAAGTGTACTCTTTTTTTTTTTTTTTTGTCAGTCCTGGGGCTTGAACTCTGGGCCTGGGCACTGTCCCTTTGCTCTTCAGCTCTAGCTAGCCTTCTACACTTGAGCCACAGCACCACTTCTGGTTCTCTGGTGGTTAGCTGGAGATAAGAGTCTCATGGACTTTCCTGCCCCAGCTAGCTTTGAACTATGATCCTCAGATCTCAGCCTCCTGAGTAGCTAGGAAACAGGCGTGAGTCACCAGCACCCAGCAAGTCTGGACTCTTTACTAATCACTCACTTTTATTTACTCATTCTCCCAGCTGTGAACAACCACAAATCTCTTTGCTATCTCTATAACTTTGCTTGTTCTGAGTAGTTCATCTATTATATGATCTTATGTGACTGGACTAATTTCCTTCATGTTTTTAAGGATCATTCATACGTGCTGATCATTCATATCAGCCAAATAATAGGCCATTGTATGTATATATCACATTTTGCTTATCCAATAACCCATTGACAATTAGACCTTTGGACTGTTTTTTTACCTTTTGGCTATTTTGTGTATAAGGTTTTGTTTGAACGTAGATTTTCAATTTCTTTGATTCTATTCATAGGATGGAATTGCTTAATTAAAGCTATGAAGGTATATGAATGGGACTGGGAATGTGGCTTAGTGGTTGAGTGCTTGCCTAGCATGCACAAAGCCCTGGGTTCGATTCCTCAGCATCACATAAATAGAAAAATCTGGAAGTGGGGCTGTGGCTCAGGTGGTAGAGTGCTAGCCTTGAGCTAAAAGAAGCTCAGGGGTCAGTGTCCTGGCCCGGAGTTCAAGCCTCAGGACTGGAAAAACAAAAACAAAAACAAAAGATATATGCATGTTTTCTTTATAATTTGGGCTCTTAAATTTAGTTCTAGCCTTATACCAAGTTAATTTTTTGTATGTGATACGAATTAGAGGTCCAGTTTATCTTTTCATTTTTCCCGCTTTTCTTTCTTTGCATCTGGGTATTTCCCAGTACTATTTGTTGAAAAGACTATTTTTCCCCCACATCTTTGTCAAAACTCAGTTGGATATAGTTATATAGGTTTACTTCTGGCTTCTCTATTATATTCCATTCATCCATATTGTCTTTATGTTACACCTCACTGTTTTGATTACCATTTTCCATTAAAAAGTCTATTATAAAACAATCAGTAGGGCTAGGCATAGTGACCTACTGTAATCCTAATTAGCTGCTCAAGAGGTAGGGATCAAGAGGATCATGGTTCAAGGATGGCTTTAAAAAGACCCCTTCTCAATCCATAGCTGTGTGTGGTGGCAGGTTTTTGTCATCCCAGCTGTGTGGGAAAATGTAAGTAGAATGATTTTGGTCTGAGGCTAGCTCAGCCCCTATCAAGATCCTACTCCAAAAAACAAAACAGAACAACAACAAAAAAACTAAAGAAAAAAGAGTTGTGGGCATGCTCAAATGGTAGAGCACTTGCTAGCAAGGTGAGGCCTTGAATGCAAACCCTAGTACTGAAAAAAAAGGTCATTTGGGATAGGCATTATTTTTGTTTAAGTAAATGTAGAGAAGATTCTAACTTCCTGGGAGGGCAACTGTACTAGAGTACAAATAAATTCCATAGATATGCATAATAGCAAATATGAATAACGTATTCCATGCAGTTGAGCCTCTGATGGCTAAGAATTGATTTAAAAAAAATCACACTGGGATTCAAAATAAAGATGTTCAAATTATGATGATAAATTTCAGGGAACACTGAGGTATACTAATTTCTTACATTTACATTCATATATCGATTTAAAGGCAACAGAATGTGGTCTCTTCCCATCTTTTTCATCATACTTATCCTGGAATTTAGTAAAGTGGGAATTTGTCATCACTAGTAGTTTTCAGTAAGGTATTTAAACAGCGATAATAAGAACTGATTTGTGGGGGCATTGGTGGCTCACACCTATAATCCTATCTACTCTGGAGGCTGAGATCTGAGGATAGCTTTTCAAAGCCAGCCTGAGTATGAAAGTCCATGAGACTTTTATTTCCTATTAACCATTAAAAATCTGGAAGTAGAGCTGTGCTTCAAGTGGTAGAGAGCACGAAGCTCCAGGGATAGGACCTAGGCCCCAAGTTTAAACCCTAGGACCAGCACAAATTAAAAAGAAAAAAGAAAAAATAATGAACTCATTTGCTCCGAGATAAACTGGAAAGTAGGATAACCAACATTCCTAATTTCTCTGCAGCTTTTGAGAGCTTCTGGGATGCATTTTTTTTCTGCTAAAATGGGAGTCTCAGGAAAAGTGGGCTAACTGGGTTGCTCTAGAGTTGTTAGCAGAGGCAAGGTAAAATATTAGGCTATTTAACTCTTAGCCCTTTTCCAAGCGGGGATGATCTAAATCAAGCAGGCCATTTCTACTTTGGAAAATTCTGCTTAAAACACGCTCTTCTTGTATCCTTTCTCAAACCAATCTAACTGAGACATCAGCTACTCTCACACCATCCTCAGCCTTCCCTTGTCTTTGGTGTTGAAACCACAGTGAGCTTTATGTTTTCCCTTTCCCTGGGATCCTTTCCTCTCTCTTGTAGACCAAAGGTCTCTGTAAATACTGTGTCCTGATCAACAGGAAGGAAGTGGATATTCCAAATAATGTCAGGGTCAGATAAGTTGCTGGGATCACTACCTACTGGAAATCAGTTAGTACTTAAAGATAAGCAAGAGCCACTTAGTGCCAGGCACACAGGTTGTATGTTTATTGCATCTTGATGTGGATTGTAACAAGAGAAGCACAACCTAGTACACGTCGATGACTCGTCTCAGAGAGCCAACTTTGGCATCCATGGCGCCCCAGTCGTGGTAGCGCCTGTAGTCTCCAGGTCTGAGCAGGTACTGGCGGCCCCGGTAGTTGGGCATCTCATAGAGGATCCAGCAGCCCTCCAGAACGTGGAGGGAGTAGATCTCATTGAGACGGAAGCGATCGTGGATGCAGGAGCAGTCCTCTGTGAGCTCAGACACAAGGCCGCGGTAGTCATCTCTCTCATACAACCTTATCCTGTGAGAGCTGGTCTGTTGGGATGAGAAGAAGAAAAGTCATGGCGTAGATGCTTAGTGTTAGCCAAAGAGATGCGATCAGGCTGTATCTTCGTGAAACATGGTCTTTGGTCCCTCCTGTGAAGCATGTGTCTTCCCTAATCCCACTACTTACCTTGTTGTTTTTACAGATTAGAAAGTGTATTAAAATAAAGCTGACCTGATCAGTGAACTAGAGATCTTGCAGAAGAAATGAACATTGAAATGCAGGGAATAAAGGCATTTCCTTTTTAAGTAACCAGCTGTCACAACCCTGGGTAATGAGTCTGCAGAAGAGATTTAAAGTCCCTCTCCATTATGACAGCATGTAACTGCATCCTATCTACTGTTTGTTTTTTTTAAGTCATTCCTTGCATTCTTGATCTACAATGGTTCATATTAGCTCCAGGTCTATCTTGTCTTTCAAAGAACATTTTTCCAAGCCATTTAAACCATTTTCATTTCTTGCCTTCAAAGAAAGGATCTATTTTTTATTTATATCTCCATGCATCTGCAAATTTTCCTTGCCTGCATCTGGTTTCAATGCTTGAATCTCCTTGACAAGCCACATCATTTGTGTCATCAGACTGTATCAACACGTGCTCCATATGACTGAAAAGCTCTTTGGTGTGGGCTGTGTCCATGAAATACTATTTATCTTTCTCTGCTCCTTGTAAGAAACTAGTTGGTAATCACTCCTTGGAAAAACAAAGTCACAAGAGCTGTAGCATGCTGTTCTATGCTAGTGTACAGGAGAGTCTAGTAAAGAAAATCACCAATATAGGCAGAATGCTTTCTCATTCATTGTCCTTCCAGGTTCTGGTAAGTTTTTATTTAAAAAGAATTACCTTTGACTTATTTTTGGCAAGGAAGGAGATTTTTGGTTAGCAATTAGGGATCTCCTAGATGCTACCTTGTTTTATTTAGTTAATTTCTTATTCAAATCTGTGTATCTTGACTGTGCACAGTGTTTCTAAGTAGGTACCACGTACGTTATACAATGGTTAATATATTATTACCTTGTATGGTTATCATGTTATGGTGAGAGTGTTTAGCATACCCTCTCAGCATTTTAAAAGAATATGATATGTGATCATTAGCTGTAGTCAACATCTAAGATATAGCTCTTGATCTACTAATTGTAAATTATTTGACCACCATCTCTGCCAACCTTCCTGTCCAGCTGCTCCAGACGTTAGTCATTACCGCTCTTCTCTCTGTTCTGTTAAACCAATGTTTATACGCTTCTGCAAATAAGCCTAGTCATGTGGCATTTACCCTTCAACCCTCCAGGATGCTGTACAACTTTGCAAATGACAAGATTTAACTTATGTGTCCCTATCCTTGCTGAGAACAGCAATAGGAAGCAACTAGCAAGCAGGGGTTGACGGTCCCTGATCACCAATGCTATGACTTCCTTCAGTGAAGGTGAAGCCAGACTCACATAGGGGATTGAGCGGCAGGAGCGGATGGAGTCGCTGAAGCCCATCCACTGCTGGTAGTCGGGATAGTCGCCCCGCCGCAGGAAGTACTGGTAGCCCTGGTAGTTGGGGCGCTCGTAGAGCATCCAGCAGCCGCTGTCCACGCGGATGGAGTTGCAGCGGCTGAAGTAGGTCTGCAGGTTGGGGCAGTCGGTGCTGCATTCATAGCAGCGGCCCTGGAAGCCCCGGTCCTCGTAGAAGGTGATCTGCAGTGCAAAACATTGGTGACAGCAGATGGTCAGCTCGAAGGCGCACCCCCCACCACAGACCCAACACCCAGCAGGCACGAATGGCACCTCTGTTGGCTCACCTTTCCCATAGCTGTTGACAGCGAGTGGTCAGTGTCCAGTGTGATGGGGACAGGAGTAGCAGCGGGTATATATAGCAGGATGGTTGCTGTGCTGGCAAGAACCACACAAAAGGGACCTGGGGGTCATGCGTAAGGGGATTTCTGTGTTCTCACTCTCGCTCTCTCTTTTTCATTTGGGATCATGGGGCTGGGGGCTCTCATTCTTTCTGGCATTTTCGACGTGTCCTCCCTCCGCTCCAGTGAAAGGAATTAATGTCAGCAGAGCCATTATGACCTTGGAGACAAAGGGCGCCTTTCCCATCCTATGCAGCTCTCTGGAAATACATTACATGGCCAGCATTTTGCAATGTTTTGCCTATAGAAACTGCTGAGGTGGAGCTCGGGGAGTTGCATCTGCAGGAGCACATGAGGATCATAAATTCCAGAAGGTTCTGAAGAGCAAGAAGGGCAGCAGAAAGTCTCAAGCAACTCTTCAGGTAGAATGACACGTGCATTTCTTTAGCAGTACAATAGGGTTCTGGTTTTGGTTTTTGTGGTTGTTGTTTTTTTTAAGCCTGCACATGTTTAGGATAAAAAGATGAGAACTGTGTACATTAAAATGTCAATGATGAGTGTTAATGGATGGCAAGATTAGAATTCCTCCTTTTGTTTTACTTCTTTTTGCTTTTTTAATTTCTTTAATTTTCTATTATAAATACGGTTTGCAATTCCATAGTAAAATTAATTTTTTAATTATTTTTAAAATATATGAGTTTGAGATGATGGTAAAAATATTTTTTGGAAATAGATATATTTCCAAGTGTTTACATAATAAACTCTTCATTTGAAAATAAACATTTGAACTGGAAGTCTAGCTCCAACCATGAACCCAGCAAGCATAAGGCCTTGAGTTCAAACTTCAGTAATATCAATAAATAAATATACAGACAGACAGATAGATAGATCATCCAAGAATAGGAGACACTTATAAAATAAGAAAATGCACAGAATCCTTTCACTCCCCTCCCATGGCCACCCTTCATCCAGAATTGCCTTTTAATTTTATAACTAGTGTTAACAATTTGCCTGGTGTTTTCCTCATCAAAGTTACTGAGTCCAGTGACTACTTGAAAAGCTTTTCCCATTGCTGTCTGCTACTGATTGTGAGCCCTATCAGCTATGTAGAGGTAGAAAATGATCCAAACTTCAGATTGTCTTTTGTCATTCCATGCCTGTGTATGTGTGAAGATGAAATCAACCTCCTTTGTGCTTCTGTCCCATGGAGGGTCTAAAGAGATATCTAACTACAGCTAGCAATACATTCACAATGCTGTTTCTGAAAACACTCAGCAACACTTACAACAACTGTATGGATAGTAAGAGGAGAGGTAGCAAAAGGTAGCAAGAAAAACTATCCTCTTCTAACTAGCAGAACTGGACAAAAGAAAACTGGGTGTAGTCACAGGGTAGAGCCCTGGCAGTGTGTACAGGGACTACAAGTCACTTGCGCTTGCCTCTGCCTCCATCCTAATGCTGCAAGTCTCCTGGCAAATCTCAGGAACAACTGAGATCATGCTCAGTGTAGAAATGGCCATTGTGGTCTCCTCAGCCACAACTCCACATGGAAATACACCACCATTTTCTGCAGCAGTCAATAAACCCAGATGTGTTTTTGCACACACTAATGCAACTGTTCTGCAGGAGGGAAGACAGTTTGGAATACCCAAACTTGAAGAAGGATACTGTGCTGAAGTTCATTTGATCATTGTCATTACAAACATTAACAGGCTAAGCCATGACTAATCAGTATTTTGGGAAGCTATCAAAAAAACAGAACATTTTCTTTTCCTATTAGCCATTATAGTCCACTGAGAGAAAGCTTGTACCCATTTTTCTTTTAATGCTTTATTGAAACAATTTTATTTTATTTTTCTATTTAGGAACATAATAAAAGAAATCAATCGCAGATTATTTTTTATTTTGGATTAAAACTCTGCAACACTGCCTCCTCTTCCACCGCTGTTCAACATTCAATGCTAAACACTTGTAAAATGTATATAAAGCCAGCTGCCTGCTTGGACACAGAAATATCATATGCTTTCTGAATTCTCTAAGTTTTCCAGTCACAATGAAGCAGCATAAGTTATATTTTTTCTCTTTGACAAAACAGAGTTGTGCCATATACTTGTAAGAGAAGAAAGCTCAATATTAAAAACAGCATCCAATACAATTTGCATCAAAAGCTAAGTCTAAAGTAAAGCATGCTGTCAGGGCTGCCATTTTGAGATGCTTTTTTTAAAATCTCCTCCCAGAGGCCCTGTTAATGATGGACCACGATTCAAATCCAAGTTCTAAGTGACCTGCAAAATGAAAAGATAATTTTGGTATCAAGCACATCAATATAATGTGCACATCAAATAAACGCTAGCTTTCAATTGATAGGAAGTGAAAGGCAAATATCAGATACTAAGTGACAAAGATGGACTCAAATGTAGATTAAAAAAAGTATTTCCAAAAAAAAAAAAGTATTTCCATGAAACTATTTTGATAGAGTGGGAAATTTAATTATATTTCTCAACTGAATGGAATAGACAATCTCTCTCTCTAGATCCTGTATAGAATGGAAAATGCTGAAAGGGGATATTATTGGGTCAATTTGTCAATTGACCCAACTGCTACATTGGTGGAGGATGAGAAAAAAGTACCAATGTGCTTGGTGCCATTGGCTCATGACTATATTCCTAGCTACTTAGGAGGCTGACATCTGAGGACTGCGGTTTGAAGTCAGCCTGGACAGGAAAGTCTGTGAGACTCCTATATTCAAGTCACCACCAAAATGCCAGAAGTAGAGTGTAGCTCAGGTGGGAGAGTGTAAGCCGTAAGTGAAAAAGTGAAAAGTGCAGGACAGCTTCTAGACCCTGAGGTCCAGCCCCAGTACTGGCAAACAAACAACAGAAAACTTACCAATGTAAGATACTTTGAAGCTGATAATGTAAGGCGGTTATTTAAGAGAATGACTTTGTTCTTAGAAAATAAAATTGAAGTTTATGGGGGTTGAATGACACAATGTGTGTCACTAATGACTCAGAAAATATCACAGACTGATATCTGTACAAGAAGAGAGAAAGATAAGGAATAAAATGATGAAGTATAGAACAAAACATTAACAATAATGATCTGGGTAAAAGAACTGTGTGGATTCCTTGTTCTGTTTATACAGCTTTTCTCTAAGCTTGAAATCATTTTCAAAAACAAAAAGCTAAGTTTGCCTGATACCAGTGTCTCATGCTTATTAGCCAAGCTACTCAGGAGACTGAGATCTGAGGATCACGTTCAAAGCCAGCCAAGGCAAGAAAGTCTGTGAGATTCTTATCTTCAATTAGCCACAAAAAAAGCCAGAAGTGAACTGTGGCTCAGGTGGTGGAGCTCCAGTCTTGGGAAACAAAGCTCTGGGACAGCACCCAGCCCCTGAGTACAAGCCCTGGGACAGGCATGTGCACCTATACACACGCAGATAAGTTCTATTAACCCTACCCAAAGTCAGTTCTTTTTCAGCAACTTCCAAGTTAAAGGTTGTGTTTGTATCATATTATTGTAGTATGTATCGATTTGAATCTATACTCTCTTTGCCTTCTCTCTGTCCTGTTTCCTTCCATGGTAGTGTGGGTAGAGTGTTGATAAGGGGAGAAGTTGTCTTATTGCTGGCCGTGACTTTAGCACTTCTCTGAGCCTTTACACATACTTTAACTCATTTGCTTCTTGTAAAAACCCTATGAGGTAAGGAATATTATTTTTTTTTTACAGATGACAAACTTAAGCATAACAGATTAAGTGACTCACCCAAATTGGGGGGGGGAGGGGAGAGCCAAGATAAGACTTTATTCAGAATTTTGTATTTGCTTCCAGCCCACCTGATTTCTTCATTAAAATAAGAGAAAGGACTATTTTTTTCTTAAGTCTAGGAGGTCTTTTGGAAAACAGTTTTAAATATTAATACATATTTAAATATTCAATACATATTTAAATATGTATTGGCATTAGTAGCTCATTTATTAATCCAAATGGGTATGAGAAACATCATTTTCTAAGAAAGTGTTGAGATGGGACTATTACTAGGAAAGGAATGTGGGGTGTCAAGGCTACGTGGAAGAGCTCTAAGATAGCTTGCTTTCTGAATCTTGGCCAAGGTCACGGCCAAGACAACGTCTTGGCAACAAGACAGCGTCTCCCTTTATCACCACTCTGGAAACTACAGGGCAAAAAGGAATATAAATCTCCTTATTTGAGCCAACAGGAAAACAGCCAGTTAACTTGGGCATGAGTTTTCAACTATTGAAAAATTAATCATGGCTAATATCTATTTAGGGTTTACTCTGGACCAAGTACCATTCAAGCCTTTGAACACTCATTTGCCCAGTGTAGGAGGTAGATAGCATTGTTCTGCCCATGTAAGGGTATAGAGGAAGGAGGGCTAAGGCCCAGAGAAGTTAAGGAGCCTGTCCAAAGCCAGACATACGGTAAGCACAGGTTCTAGATTCCACCTCGGAGCTTCTCTAAAGATGACATAAAGGTAAGTTCTGACAAAGTATCTGTTATCAAGTTGGCCAGTATAAATATAGACGTTCACACTTACTTTGTTCTTTGGTAGTAAGCGTGAGAAGTTTTTTGATAATTTCCATCCTGTGTTAGGTATTTCCTTTGCAGAATGGCTGGTGATGTTTTTATTCGTTGTTCTCCTTCTTAACTTGACGCCTGTAGATACAGGTAGTAACATAGCTGGATATAAAACTTTAAAAATGCTGGGAGCCAGTGGCTTATGCCTGTAAAACTAACTACTCAGAAAGCTGAGATGGAAGGTTTCAGATTTGAAGTAATTTGGGGCACACAGATTCTTGAGACTCTTCTCTCCAATTAGCCAGCCAAAAGCTAGAGGTGTGGGTATGGCTCAAATAGTAGAACACCAGCCTTGAGCAAAAAAGCCAAGTAAGAGCTCAAGGCCTTGAGTTCAAGCCCCAGTTCCAGGACACACACACACACACACACACACACACACACACACACACACACACACACACACACACACACACTTTTTTTTTAAGGTGGCCTACCATATGGAAGTGGAGGTGTGGCTCAAGTGGTAGAGTACTAGCCTTGAGCACAAAAAGTTAAGGTGCACTGTTCTGTCCCTGAGTTCAATACCAAGTACCAGCACACACAAGAAAATGTTTTTGGAAGTGGAGATATGGCTCAAGTGGTAGAACACCAGCCTTAAGTGAAAAAATTAAGCAAGAGTGTGAGGCCCTGAGTTAAGCCCTCATTACTAGCACACACACACACACACACAAATGTGCCCACCCTAGACTGCTTCGCTCTCTCACAAAAGGGTCTGATTTTGGTAATGGGGGGAGGATTTCCGGTCAGCAAAGTTCCTAGTTCTTTCAGTTCTACCAGGTGGAAATCTAGTTGGCATTACGATGTTGGCCTTTTCCCATGTTCCCACCTCCCAATTTACTTCAGTTCCTCTGTGCAGGTGGAGTGGATGGGCTTACTCTGTTTCCGGGAGTATTCTGCTGCAGTGGGGGCCGTCAGCATGGCAAAGGGGTGCAAGGAACGGAACAAGGGAGCCCGGGGAGCCTGAAAGCAAAACAGTCCTGCTGACACTTTGTATGGTTAACACCTGCCTCTTACCACCTGTTTAACCAACCCAGCGTTCCCAGACTTTACCAAATGCCCATAGATGCAACCTGTGAAACCGTGAACTTGAACGGTGACCGTGAACTTGACACCCTGCCTTTGCTCTTGTCCTTCGTTCCTATTTCATACTTTCCTGGGTAAGCTACTTCCTCCCTTTCTGCCTGAAGTTGCCTGCTTTTCCTCTGTGATGCGGCTCAAACATCCTCTTTCTGGAGAAACTTTCCCTGGCCCCGCTTCCCCTAGTCTCTTCCAACCTCATGACTGATTTTCCCTGTAGCCAAGCATGGAGTCACACAGAACAAGATCACGAGTGTGGTTTGTCATCGCACAGCAATATATCAGACCGTCTTTAAGGCTAGGATTGTCTCTGCCCTTTCAGATTGCATTTAGTGAGACCTGCCGGAGGCCAGGCCCTGACTTCCTGTTTCTCTGGGGCTGAGTCAGGAGAGAGGAGCCTTGAGCTAAATACAAGATAAGCAGGGTAGTTACACCTGGGGAGATCAGCTATGCTTTCCCCATTCAGAAAGAAAGCCAAGGTGAGGCTGAGGCTCAAGGGAACGAGTTGGGGAACGAGACACAGATCACGTGGCTCCCTGATGATCCATGTTCACAGCTGCACGTTGCTGTTGCTTTCTGGGTGCCCTGAGAAGCCTAAAATATTATTAAGCATTGGTGTGACAAGGTCTGACAGGTTTTTGAAAAGGATCTCTCTGGAGCTAGAGGGCAGTTCAGGGGTAGTGCACTTGTCTAGCATGCAAGATGTCCTGGGATCCACCCTCAGCATTGCAAAATTAATTAATTAAAGAAAAAAGGAGGCTGGATATCGGTGGCTCCTAACTCTAATCCTGGCTGCTCAGAAGGCCGAGATTTTAGGATTGAGGTTCATAGCTAGACTGAGCAGACAAGTCTCCGAGACCTTTGTCTCCAATGAGCCAGCCAGAAGCCTGAAGTTTAGATGTGGCTCAAGTAGTGCAGTGCCAACCTTGAGCAAAAAAGCCAAATAACAGCACAAAGCCTCCAGCTCCCATCCCAGTACCAGCACAAAAAATAGGAAGGAAGGAAGGAGGGAAGGAAGGAAGGAAAGAAAATCTCTTTGACTGTTATGGGGGAATAGATTGGAGAACGGAAGCAAGGACACCAGTTAGTTTAACATTTTAGCCCCAGAGCCTTACCAGAGGGCCTAGCACATAGTAGCCCCAAATGTTCTTGACTAGTTTGATAATTACCATTTTAGTCAAGACATTACTGGTTAACAGCATCGATTTTAGTACCAAACTGTATTTAACACAAGCCCCACCATTTACAATATGTGTGACCTTAGGTGTGTTACATAGCTTCTCTGTGCCTGCTTTTTTATGTGATATTAATAATACTGGTGACCCCTCATGGGGTCATAGTAAGGAGTAAAGATTGAACATAAATAAAGTGTTTTGAACAGTACCTGGCACATCATACAATCCTGAATATTAGCTTTCACAATGATGATGGTGATAATTACTTTTTGTATTTCTCATCATCACCATCATTTCTAACCTTCCAAAGGAGTTCTGTGGCAGATCTGAAGGCTGATGGCTCTAGCCTGTCATCCTACCTACTCAGGAAGCTGAGATCCGGAGGCTCATAATTTGAGGCAAGCTCTGGTAGAAATGTCTGAGAGATAACATTTCCAAAAGAACCAGCAAAAATCCAGGACTGGAGGTATGGCTCAAGTGGTAGAGCTCAAACTAAGCAGGCAAGCCAGAGCAAATGAAGTCCTGAGTTCAAGCCCTGGTATAGCCAAAAAAAAAAAAAAGTAATCAGCGGTTTCATGGTCACCATTCCTGTACAGGATCATGCTCATCTACCAGAGAAAGGTTGAATGACTTGCTGACATAAAACTAATTAAAACCAGGGAATCTAAATTCTCTCTCTCTCTCTCTCTTTCTTTCTTTCATTCTCTTTCATTCTCTCTCTCCTCCCAGGAAGAAAAGCTTGCCAGACTCCAGCTTCATAAAGGGAAGCTGGATGTGGTGATGTACAATTGTGAGCCCAGGAAAGATGAGAGGCTTTAAGTAGGGAGGTACTCAAGAGAGAATTTGTGTCAGAAACAGCTCATACCTGCAGCCCTAGCCACTCAGGAGGCTGAGCTCCAAAGATTAAGGTTCAAAGCCAGCCAGGGCAAGAAAGTCAACAAAACTATCTGCAATTAACCACCTCTCCCCATCCCCAGAAAGCCAGAAGTAGAACTGTGACTCAAGTCATAGAATGCCAGCCTTGAGCAAAAGAGCTAAGGGACAGTGCCCAGGTCCTGAGTTCAAGCACCAGCACTGTCACAATCAATCAATCAATCCATCAATCAATCAATAAAAGTAGGCCTCTCTTCTTAGCATAAAACCCCTTTCAGAGGTCTGTATAATCCAGGCTGGGTCAACATCCTCTAAGAAGAGAAATTCCTTGGCAGACTGTTATTATAAGGGCGAGAGGGAGGAACACAGGTTACTGCGAGGAAAACAGGCTGCTGTCAGGAATGGCGGTGGGATTGGAAATAATAACACTACTATGGAAGGCTCCGCATGGCCCCACCATGTGCTTGACATGCATGCTCTGAAAAGAACAGTCTGGTGTGGCTGCGTTAAGCGTACGCATGCCTATTTGTGCATGCGTATTTGTTTACCTTATGACAAATTGGGGATCAGAGACACTGAATAACTTATCAGAGGCCACACAGCTAGCAAGACGTGGGCCAGTCTGTTTGCCTTTGAAGTCATGCTTTGGGCTTTGGGTGTTGAATAGGCTGGATGCACAGGGCGGTCCTAGAACCTGGGATGCACGTTAGAAAGCCAGAAGGAAGGCAGAGGCCCTTGTCCTTCTCTCTCCAGGGCTTTGTTTCTCTTCCTTCTTTCTGATGATCTCCACCTCCCTTTCCTCCATCAAATGGAGCTGAGGAGGTTTGTTGTTTGTTTTGGTGGCACGGAGATTTGAATTCAGGGCTTTGTGCTTGCTAGGTAAGTATTGTACAACTTGAGCCACACCCATAGCCATTGATTTGTTTTCCAAATGGGTCTGGTCTTTATACCTGGGCCAGCCTGAACTGAGATCCTCCTATTTGTGCTTCCTGTGTAGCCAAGAGGATAGGCATGGTTGAGATAGAATCACATGAGTTTTCCCCCCACCTGGCTGGTCTCAGCCTCTGAAGTAGGGAGATGGTTTCTTGGTTGTTTGTTGTTTGTGGTACCGGAGTTTGAACTCAGGGCCTCCCACTTGCTAGCCAAGTGCTCTACCACTTGAGTAATGCCACTAGCACTTTCCCAAAGAATATTTTGATCTCTTGCTTTATTGGCTAAAGGAAAATGTATGCCTTTTTTCAGTTTCAATTTAGTAGGATATTTTCTGTTTATCTGAAGGCAATTGTAAATAGCCCTTACTTATGTAAAGGTTTTAGTTGATTTTAATTTTTTTCTTTTATTGGAAAGATGCTGTACAGAGGGGCTACAGTCACATGAGTAAGGTAATGAGGACGTTTCTTGTGGAACATTGTTACCTCCTCCTGTTATTCTCCTACTATCCCTTCCCTTCCCACCTCCCTCACTCCTCCCCACCACCAGAAGTTGTAAAGTTCACTTCCAACATAGCATCTTGTGGGTATCATTGTAGCAATGAGTCATCCTGTGTCCTTGTTTCAGTATTTTGTTATTCCCCTTCCTCTCCCCAAATTAGATAAATGTATATACAAGATGTAGGGTACCAAAATCTATTACAGTGACAACAGGGGAATATACCATAGGGGGAGGAACATGCAAAAGAAACAAAAAAAAAATCACATAGTACATTAAAAACAACAACAACGAAGAAAGACCTCTTGTGTCATATTTTGGGGTTCATTTCGCTTAGCATCATCTTATATGGCCATATGTACATAGCTTTTAAGCTTTTCTGCTCATCTGATAAACTTATCCTAGATGTATACTAGTTATTGCAAATGAGGAAAACCATGGGACCTATATTTCTTTGGGTCTGGCTTACTTCACTTAATATGATTTTTTTCCCCCAACTCTTTCCATTTCCTAACAAATAGAGTCCTGGGTACAAAAAGCACAGCTGGATATCAAGAGGAAGGACTCTGAGGCTGTGATATCTTTCTACCACCTGGTGGCAGCAAATAATCTTGATGAAAACCATGGAGTCTGAGTCCAGTTCCCACACTGCATCACTTGGACATTCCAGTTGCTGGAAATTCTCCATAATCTGATTAGTATTCAATGGGACTTCAAGCCTTTACTTGGGAAGGATTTTAGCTGTTGTTTAGGTGACATTTTATCCAAAGGAACAGAAGGTCATTTCAGATATACAGCAATTAAAGGACTTTTGCAGTATCTTTTTTTTTTAAGCCAACTCTGTCCCCTATTTAAAACTATTACCCCCTAAAAAAATTATATGTCGCCCCAAAAGACTATAATTTGAAATTTTAATTTGAGAAATGCTACACTTCCACTGAGAGGCCCTGCCAGTTCTTTCTTTAGCATGTGGAGAAAGACTAGGAGAAAAGGGATAGAGGGCAGCTACCAGAGAAAGGGGAGGGGGAGGGGGCGGTGGCAATTCTTGAGGCAGGGAGGAGGAGCTTGTGGGTTTCCATAGAGAGCCTCAGATGCATATATTGCTTCCTCAACTCTTACCCTTCATGATGACTCCTTATCCAGAGAGGACAAAGTTTACATCTGGTTAATAGTACACACAGACGCTTAATTAGCTATTTAATCTTTTTGATATTTAGAGCAGTGGTTATCAACTAAATGTGATTTTGTCTGTCAGGGAAATCTGGAGACATTTTTTATTGTCACAGCTGGAGACAGTGTACCTGCTTCTGACAGGTACAGGCCAGGGAGGCAGGTGAACGTCCCACTGATAGTCCTCAACTCCAATCCCAAGACTCTCTATACATGTCACAGATAATTATCTGGAACAAATGTAAAAATTCCAATATACTGGGAGACAGTGAGGAAAGGCGTAATAGTGACATTGTCCAAATAGATGTACTCATTACCTGACTTATGTAACTGTAACCTTTCTATATATCACCTTTATAATAACAATTTAAAATATTTTTTAAAAATCCCAATACAGAGGAACATAGAAATCAGATAACCAGCCGTTGAGTACCAGAGCCTTAATTATCACTATCATTCTGAAGTTACATGCACTAAACACTAGGGCTTCATTGCTATTCCCTCAATGCCCACAATCCCACCTATTTCTCAGCTTTTACAAATGAACCAGACGCTCACAGAGGCTAGAAACAACACCCAGGATTACTGTGCTGTAACCATGCTATCCTCCACTAAAGTGTATGTGTACTCAAGGAATACAGTGTAGATTTTTGTATAGAACTGTTATTTCATAATGGATGCCCGAAAATACAGCATTATACATGTATAAATTTAATAATCTCTCTCAAAATCCCTTACCTTGGTAGTACCAGAATCAGCCCCATAGATTTTAAAGACTTCTTCAATTGGAACACTGTTCTGTTAAACAACGACAGTATATTGTCATATCACAACTTTTCTCTTACTGTAAAACAAAGCTCTCATAGTTCCAGTTCTAATACTGTGTGCCATAGCATGGGCAGTGAGGAAATGTGTGTGTGTGTGAGTGTGTGTGTTGGGGCTTGAACTCAGGACTTAGGCTCTGTTCCTGAATTTTTATGTTCAAGGCTAGCACTAGAACCACAGCTCCATGTCCAACTTTTTGGTAGCTAACTGGAGATAGAGTCTCATGGACTTTCCTGCCTGGGTTGGCTTAGAACCACAATCCTCAGATCTCAGCCTCCTGAGTTGTGAGGATTGTACAGGCATGAACCATCTGTACCCAGCTTCTTCTTTTTTTGGACATTAATATACAACAGCATAGGTGTTAAAATATTTTCATTATGTCTTAAAAATGAGATATTTGTTATGAGTAAATCCCAAATATTTAGAAGCATTGGTTGGAAAAATACCATAAATATTCATGAATATAAAAATGCATACAGTAGGGGCTGGGAAGGTGGCTTAGTGGTAGAGCGCTTGCCTTGCATGCCTGAGGCCCTGGGTTTGATTCCTCAGCACCACATAAGCAAAAAGAAAAAAGCCAGAAGTGGCACTGTGGCTCAAGTGGTAGAGCGCTAGCCTTGAGCTGAAGAACTGAGGGACAGCGCCCAGGCCCAGAGTTCAGGCCCCACGACCAGACCACCCCCCCCCCAAAAAAAATGCATACAGTAGACGTGATACATCCATCCATCCATCCATCCAAATAGTGTTCCTTACCATTAAGATTCCAGCATAGGATGACAAAATCATTGCTTCTCGTTCTCTGCGGTTTGGATATATGGGTCTGCCATGAAGCGGCATATTCCTAAGGGGGAATATAAATAAGAATGGGGGATTTAGTCTTGTTTACAGTCCTGGGGATTGAACCCAGGGCCTTGTTCTTGCTAGGCAAGCACTCTACCATCTGAGCCACACTCCAACCTTGTTTTTGATACCACTGATTTATAACATTGAAGTGTTGACTCTTTGTTAGTAAAACACTTACTTTGGATGTGTGTGTGTGTGTGTGTGTGTGTGTGTGTGTGTGTGTGTTTTCAGTACCAGTTTGAATTCAGTGCTTCCTAAGCAGGCACTCTAACAGTTGGGCCATTCCTCTAGTCTTATTTTGCATTGGTTATTTTCAGGATAGGGTCTTCTTGTTTAGTTCAGCCTGGACACCCTCTCTTTGTCACCTGGATGATAGGTACATACCACCAAGTCTAGCCACTGATTAAGACAGAATCTTCTTGATTCTGTGTGTATTTTGTATGTATGTGTATGTATGTGCATGTGCACACACACTAGTACTGGGACTTAAATTCAGGGCCTGGTTACTATCCTTTGGCTTTTTTTTGTTCAATCACTCTACCACTTGAACCACAGCTCCATTTCTGGTTTTATGCTGATTATTTGAGGATGAGAGTCTCAGACTTTTCTTCCCTGGGGTTGGCTTTGAAAAATGATCTCCATATCTTAGCCTCTTAAGTAGCTAGGATTATTGGCATGAGCCACTGGTGTTCAGCTTTCTTGAATTTTTTTTTTGGGGGGGGGGTCTGGTCTTGAGGCCTAAACTCTGGGCCTGGGCGCTATCCCTCAGCTCTTCTGCTGAAGGCTAGCACTCTACTACTTGAGCCACAGTGCCACTTCTGGCTTTTTACTTTTTGCTTATGTGGTGCTGAGGAATCGAACCCAGGGCCTCAGGCATACAAGGCAAGCGCTCTACCACTGAGCCACCTTCTCAGCCCCTCTCTTGAATTTTTATACTAGAACATTTTTAAGCCCAGGCTAGCCTCAAAACTTGACTCCCAATCTCCACACACCCCCAACTACCTAGGATTTCAGGCTTGCACCATGAAGCCTGGCCATAATTTTCACTCTTCCAGTAATGGTGATAAACTTGTCCTGTTTCCTCTTGTCTATGCAGCTAGCAAACATTAGCCCACTGGCCGCTGTGGTGGAGGTTTATGGCTTTGCTAACCAGGAGCCTCACTCTTTCGTGTGGCAATTTCCTGGCCCTAAGGTAAGCCTCTATATTTCTGGAGGAGGCTAAAAACATGATTCCAAGAATGGAAAGCACACTGAAGACTAAATGAGCCAGTGTGTTCCATCCCAGACAAGCCTGGGCAAATGAAACCACTGAGACACAATTCTGTGTTTTCATTAGATTCCTCCTCCCCTGCACTCAATGCTGTAATAATGTGATATAAAATTAAGAATGGTGTCTACTCAGAGAAAACAGAAGCAAATGGTAGGTGTTGGTGACATCAGCTGAGGTTTGACTTATACTATGTCAAACACAGACCTAGCCACAGACTTTTCAGATAGAGGCAATTAAATTGGCCTGTTGTTTTTTTTTTAATTCTTTGTTTGCTTTGCTTACTTGCTTGCTTAAGGTTATTCAAACTGGATTTTCTGGTTCTTACAATCAAACCCTAACTGGAATTTTCATCCAGGAACAGATGTGGAGTTAGAGACCACAGAACAGAGGAATAACTGACTTTTGGAATAGGCCATGGGTTCCTGGCCTCAGTAGTTCCCTGTTTTGACCAATTGAGTCAGTCTTCCTGGCTACTACATGGGAGAAAAAGAATAATCTTGGTAAAGAAAATTATTCCCTCATTCAAACATCTCAGCTCAGGTATTTGCCACTTCACGTTCCAGAAACTGTGCTTGATAGAGCTCAGGAGAGACTGCAGCTTTTAACCACTATGAAAAAGACACAAACACATTGGTGACTCCCTCAAGCTGACAATGTGTGGTTTCCTAAGGTTTCTAGGTGAAGGGAATATTCACCCTGGAAGTGTTTCCTACTCATGTCAGAAGCTGCTGGAGACGGATGGAATTTCTTCCATCATACATCAGAGTCACACATTAAAGAGAAAAACAACAAATGTATTTCAACTTACCTAGCCTCCCGCTCCAGCCAAGTTAAGTCTTCTGAGTGACCCAGCCATTGCAGAGCGACACTGATGGCCAAGTCATAGTGCGCCTGGAAGGAGGGAACAGAGACAGAAGAACGGGTTTAGCCAGTGCCCAAAGGACACCCTGGACTCAATGACAATGGCCTTGCTAAGACTGTCCTATTTTATCATGTCCAAAATGAGCAGGGTCCTTTCCTAAATTTAATGTCCTGATGGTCGGCCATAATTACTTAAGGATCCACAAGCATTGAAGGTAGCTTCCCCTAGAGCAGTCATTGGTTTTGTGTGGGCCAGGAAAGAAAGAATAGATGAATGGAAAGCATATTAAACTGGCAACTGGGAAATCTGGGCTCCTATCTAGGAATTGTCAACAACTTGTTTCATATTCTTGGGTGAGTGATTGATGCCCTCTGGGCATTCCCCCTCCCCCCCCCCCCCCAGATGGCATTGAGGGACGAAGTTTCAGAGATGCTATACAGTGCTAGGACGGTGCTTCTGGAATGCAGGTGGGGTGATGTGGGAATTTGATGTGTCTATTTGGGGAGGTTGGGCCAATTCTATGAGCTTTTCTTAGAGCTCATACTTGAAGAATGGGAGTTTCTATAGACGGAGAAGGAAATCCTGGGTGCAAGGACCAGCATGAGCAAAGGCCCAGAGGTAGAAATGATTAAGTGATCAAATATAATTCTGAGAGCCAGCTGGAGCAATCATTCCTAATGTGATCTTTTCTTGGTAATTTCCAAGAGATTTTATTTAATAAGTATATTTACCATGTGCCTATCAAAATATGTTCCTTCCTGCTTCCCTAGCCCAGTAAGAGGAAGGTTTGATTTGGCTTTGGCTTTTAGGGTTCTAAGTTTCTAACAACGCTAAGTGATAGAATTATTTCTTCCCAGATGCAAGGAAAATGAAATATAAACCAACAAATAAAAAAAAATAAGGGAAGCTGGAGTCAGCCTGAGATTCAATCCAGACTATCAAAGCCAAATCCCCAAATGGTAGGTACTCCTCTGTATATCACTTTACTAATAACAAGAGAAAAGTAAAAACAAAGCGAGACAACCCAGGTCCCAGTCCCGCCCCTGACCTCCTCAGTTAAACAGCACCATAATCAAGTTCATTAAAGTATGAAAAGCAGAGCATTGATCTACTTAATTTCTCTGTTTAATGTGTGTATAGAGTGAGGCTTAGCTTCAAACTGAGCTCCAAGCAAGTACTAGAAGTCAGAGAGCCTCCCTCCCTCCCTCCCTCCCTCCCTCCCTCCCTCCCTCCCTCCCTCCCTCTCTCCCTCCCTCTCTCCCTCCCTCGTCCTCAGGGCCTGGGCACTGTCCTTGAGCTTCCTTTTGCTCAAGGCTAGCACTCTACCACTTGAGTCATAATGCCATTTCTGGCTTTTTCTGTTTATGTGGTACTGAGGAATTGAACCCGGAGCTTCATGTATGCTAGGCAAACACTCTACCGCTAAGCCACACTCCCAGCCCTGAATTTCATCTTTCTGCAATTGCTTCCTTAATTCCTGTGAAGTGAGCTAACAGAGCCTAACATGAACCTGGGATTTCAACACGAACAATACAACAAATGAAGGATTATGCATTGCTTTGCTTTTCCCCACTTATGTTAATGACGGAAATCATGTGTTTTAGAAGTACCTGAAAGGTAATTTCAGCGGAAAGGGGATATTTTGTGGAAGTGTTTTGTTGTTGTTTTTGTTGGTGCTGGGGTTTGAATCTGAACTAAGGGGATTGTACTTGATGGGTTCAGCCCTCTACATTTGTCACAGCCTTTTCTTTAGTTATGTTTTAGCTAAAATTTTGCTTTTTGTTCAGGCCAGCCTGGACTACAATCCTATTTTATGCTTCTCTCCACAGATAGGATGACAGGTAAGCACTAGCAGCCCAGATTTTTCTGTTGAGATGAAGTCTTATAAATTTTTCTGCTCAAGCTGGGCTGAAACTTTAATCTTTCTTACCTTGACTCCTCAAGTAACCACTATAAATCACCATACTCAGCTTTGATTTTTTTTTTATTATCATGAATGTAACATTTTTTGCCCTCATTTGGGTTTTAATTTTTCTTCCCTAAAAGGACTTTTGTATTCTCATTGGCTTTTTATTCAATGAGTCAAAAAAACCATACAAACTTAGAATGAGAAGATGAGTAAGAGGACAAGTATGTGTGTGTGTGTGTGTGTGTGTGTGTGTGTGTGTGTGTGTGTGTGTGTGTGTGTAATAGTAGCCTGTCTTATTGTACACATTTAAAACACATTACACAATTCAGCATCAGCATGCCTTTACCATATCATCTAGAATGGAGAGTTGCCTTCTTCCTTTTGGGTCAAATTCATTTTCCCGAAGTCTGATGCCAATATAATCTCTCCTTAAAAGCAAGAGAGCAGCATTGAACCTTTGTGGGTGAGACAGGGGCTCAGTCTGCCCAGCTTCCTTCCCAAACCCTCCCTCCCAGCCCCAAATACAACAGCTGTCACCTCATAGTCTGGTGGCTATGTTAATGTTCAGTTTTGGTTTACAGGAAACTTGTGATGAACCGCTAACCACACTTAACTTAAATCACATTTTATCTAAAACTTTAAACCTATCATTCAGATAGAATCTGCAGGAAAGCAGGATTTACCAGAGGATTTCAGCAAGACTAAGATTGATCCTAGTCTTAATCCTATTTAAAATAAAGATTCACTTGCTGCCCATTGTACATTCAGGAGGAATACCAAAGCTGATAAATTCTAGACACAGATAATGTTTTAGAGATGCATTCTTTTCCTTAAGGCCTTTTCATATTAGCCTATAGATACCTTTAAAAGAGTAATGCATAAAAACTTAGTAATTCTGTTAGCATGTCTCTATCAGATCCTCTCCTAACAGTGATGTTAATAACAGAAGAGAGAGTAACTGTGTATGAAGAAATGATTCTAGAGTCTCTGAGGTTGAGCTGAACCTGGAAAATCACCCATGTAATATGAGGCTAGTTGTATATCTGTCCCTCACACTAGGGCTGGCTGCTATGTGAAGACTAGGTTTGTTTCTGGCTTCTAACCCCCGCCCTTTTTTTCCTTTTGTATGTGTATGTTCCTGTATTAGGGTTTGAACTCAGGACCTGGGCACTTCATTCAAGGCTGGCTCTCTATCACGTGAACCACACCTCTACTTCTAGCTTTTCTGCTGGCTAATTGGAGATAAGAGTCTCACATATTTTTCTGTCTGGGCTAGTTTCAAACCATGATACTCAGATCTTAGCCTCCTGAGCAGGCATGATTATAGGCAGCAACCACCAGCACCTAGCTCAAAAGCTTTCTTTTAAGATAGATAAAACTTTTTTAATTTTTTGTTGTTGTTGTTGATCATGGGGCTTGAACTCTGGGCCTGGACACTGTCTGTGAGCTCTTCAGCTCAAGGCAAGCACTCTACCAATTGAGCCACAGTGCAACTTTGGGCTCAGATCTCAGTCTCCTGAGCCACTAGGATTATAGGCATGAGCCACTGGCACTCAGCCAAACTTTTTGAATTTTTATTGTGATATTCCAGAGCACTTTAAATCAGCCAAAATGTCGTCTTTGGCTATATAAAAGTGTACTTTCAGTTTCAAAATTATAATTCTTTAGATGAGGTAAGAAGAGAAGTTGGCAATCCTGATTATGGTTTGTTCTTTAGTATTATTATGACCTCCACACATATACGTAAACATGTGCATTCATACATGGCTTGCTCCAGTCAGAGAAAGGGCATTTTTTTGGGTGGGGGGGTCTGTGATAATACTTTTGATGGCCAAGATATTGTTATGACTGAGACTTATAGAATAGAATTTATCTTCTCTTCTATAGGAAACTTGGTATATTAGTTGCATGCTAAGAAAAAGGAGATAAGCTAGCTGAGAAGACTGACAGCAAGAGAGACACATTGTAATTTAGATCCTAGGCTCTTCTAAGAGTCTCTGCACATCTTCTACTTGGGAGGTTGGAATCAATGGCACATTCTGTCCCCACCTGCTAACTGGGTGGTGGCTCGAGACTTAGAATTGGGAACCTCACAGGCAAAAGCAAAGGCAACTTCCCCGGAGATTCAGCTCCCTGCCTCCGGTCATTGTGAGGCCCCACTTGCAGAGGCCAAACCATCTGCCTTTCTCCTATTCTATTGAATAAATACATTCTTCCTTAGCTTTGTACCTACTGGCCAATCTCCAGACCATCTCTGAAAACCTACCAAATGCCAAGTACCGTACATGAAAGTCATTCCGGATAATACTCACAGCAGCTTTCTCACTTCCTTCTTTATGAGCTTTCTTTCCATGTCTGAAGGCTGCTTCCTCTGAGCCCGGTGTCCGCAGCTTACACTGTACCTGATATCCTTCAGGAAGACCCTGCCTCCCAGGAGCAGCCTTGAAGCCAAAGCAGCAAATCAGAAAGAACTTGAATTAGGGATGCTGTTGCTCCAAATACCCGTCACGGAGTATGAAGTTTTGGAAGGGAACCAAGAGTACACAGAGTTGAGGTCTCTTATCCAGCAGGTACAAGATAAGAAAGGGGCTCAGAGGCTAGAGCACTGTACCTGCATCTACCTGGTATTGTTTACTCCTTCCTAGCATGAACTTATCTTCACAAGAATCTGGCATGTAAAACAGATATGACTCACGTTATCATGGATCAGGCTATTTGAGTGGAATAGATCAGGAATGAGCGTGATCTGAATAGGTTAGAGGTTTCCAGTGTGCATTCAACAGGGACTCCAGCACGTCTGCCCTGGCAGGAGAGCTGATGATGGAGTTCTCTATACAATCACCCATAACTCCTTTCCCCATGGCCAGGAAGTCCTTGAAAGCCCCATGAAAGGTGATCTTGGCAAATATGTCTTTGATTTCCATTCCAACATTGAATCAGAAACTGAAGACCAGCCAACAGGGTCAAAAGAGGCCTGAAGTCACAAAAAGGCATTTAGAAAGAGAGATGATCATTATCAGAGGGAGTAGTCAGGGAGAGTCATCAACAGCAATCAACTGTATCAGGATTGTTCAAGTGCATTGTGATGGTTCCTTTTATGGATCAACTTGGATGGGCTGCTGTGAACAGATATTTGACCAAAGATTGTCCTAGATGTTTCTGTGAAATTAACATTTAAATTGATGGCCTTTGAGTACAGTCGGTTGGCCTACATAATGTGTATGACCCTTACAGAATCAGTTAAAAATTTGAAAGAACCAAGATTGGCCTCTTTTTTCTCTTTTGGTGGCACTGGAGTTTGAACTTAGGGCCAAACAACTGCTCTACCACATAAACCACTTCATCAGCCCCGCTCTCTAACAAAAAAGAATTAAGCAAACAGACAATCTTTGAATTCTATTTGTATCTCTTTCCTGGATGTCTGGCCTGCTAATCATTCTCTTAAAAGTTTAGATGGGGCTGGGAAGGTGGCTCAGTGGTAGAGCGCTTGCCTTGCATGCATGAGGCCCTGGGTTCGATTCCTCAGCACCACATAAGCAGGAAAAAAAAGCCAGAAGTGGTGCTGTGGCTCAAGTGGTAGAGCGCTAGCCTTGAGCTGAAGAGCTGAGTGACAAGTGCCCAGGCCCAGAGTTCAAGCCCCACGACCGGACACCCCCACAAAAAAAAAAGAGTTTAGAGTGGCCAAGACCCCATTATCAGGGGAGCCAATTCCAAATCTCTGTCTTTCTCTCACTGGCTCTCTCTCCCTTTTCTCTCTCCCTCTCTCCACATGCATGTATGTATATAGTGTAAACTACAGATAGCTCAGTGCTCTCTCTCTCTCACACACACACACACACACACACTAACAGAACACATCTGGTTGGTTTTAATTCTCTGGAAAACTTTCACTAAGCATGACACAACAAAAATGTTAACAATCATTGGTTCTGTGATCAAAAGTCCCTGGATGTTCATTAAATTATCCTCTGTATGTTTTTTTAATTTGTGTGTTGGTTTTTCAGTCACTACTTTAAAGATGGCTGGGACAAAAACTTTTTTTTTTTTTTTGATAATTGTCGTATGTAAACGCTAAGGTTTATTTGAGTAAATTCTTCAGAAATAAGCAAAGAGCAAACAGGATGCCACTGATACAATTGAATCCTTCCCTGAGTTGGCTTAATTACTTTGGATCATTCTGGTTGCTACTCCATCTGCTTCAGCCTTTGGGGAATGCTAGGCTGTGGGTAAGGAGAAAGAGGAAAGGAAATAGAATAAAGATAGCACCATTCTCCCTGTTGTCAAGTCAACTGAGAGGAAGCCGCAAGCCAGCAGGTGGCTGTGTGGCTGGGGAAGGAAAACTGCAGGCCCTGGGAAGCCAGAGACCAGGATGTAACCTCCACTCTGGCACTGATTGCTGTAGCCAGGTCCAGATACTTGCTCATTTGCACCCAAGTCTCAAGTGTTCCCTAAAACTGATAGCCTGATTAACATCATCCCAAACACCTTTCACCCTAACATTCTATCACTCCATAAAGGCTGGCACGTATTAAAATTCTTCTAATTGAATAATTCAGAAAAACATTTGTGTTTAGGATATTTTTGTCCTACCTCAATTCTTTGACAGGAGGTAGGTTCCATTACCTTTAAAATCTGAAAAGTGAAAGATTTAGCATTTGCCTTAACCTGTTCTTGTAATTCTGAGCAAGGTCTTTGAAATTCAGATTTGGGGAGCATAACATTTACAGCTTGTGCTTCTCCCGGCTTCCTCTTAGCCCATCAAGCCCATTCAACATAGCATCATATTCAAAGGCTTAAATATTAAACACACGAATATCTCTCCCATCTTTCTAATCCCAAACTACTAGGCTGGAGGTCCAAAGACCCTGCCAATTGGCGCCCACTGTCACCTTGGCCAAGGGAATTGGTCTGTTTTCTGTTCTTTCTCTGTAAAACAAGAACTAAATAACTGGAGAGGTTCTTTGTAACTGCAGAATTCAGTGGTTAACATGCAGTTGGCAGCTTTTCCTTCTTAAAAGAGACTACTCTTTTCCACACAAAAGACAGCCGGTCAGGTATCAATGCTTCAGGCTTGAAAGCCCACTCCCCCCCACCCCCAGCAGGCCCCAATCCACAGCTCCCACATGCTTGAGGAATTCCATGCACCAGGAATATCTGCACACAGCACGCAGAACCCCTGCACATCCCTGCAATGGTGACACAGCTCCTCCACAAATGGTGACACAGCTCTCCCCACCGTGTTATTATTATGTGTCCCCGCTCTTAGCAAATCCCCCTTGGAGAATTCCACTCACTGAGACCACTGGTTGGTGGGAGCTTTTGTTCTTTTTCTGCTTCTGGAGATGGAGGCTGAACCTGCTTCGGCAAAATCACAGCTTGGACTGGCCACTCACCGACATCTGGAAAGCCAAAGAGCACCCCCCACCCCACCCCTCCCCACGCCCCCTCCTGGTTGCTAGGAAGTGGTGATTGGATGAAAATAAGGTTTTAAAAATACTCCTTATAAACCTCCACCCACACACCCTGTAAGGGTGGGGGAGGGGGTGTCATGCATTTGAGACAGGATTGTGATCCTGACCTGCAGCTCAGGTATCTTTTTACCCAGTTGACTTAGGTGTCCCAAGCTAAATGATTAATCAGAAAATTGAGATGAAGTCACTTCCCTGTGTTTGTTGGTGTCTTGTTTTGTTTTAATACTGTGTGGCTGCAGATGTAGGTGTCTGCTGACTGGCCAGGTTATTGCTGGAGAAACTGGTGGATGTCCAACTCCCCCATACTTTGGGTCCCCAGAGAAGCCCTTAGAATAAAGATGCTGAGTGGTAACTATGGACACACAGCAGGGAAAACCCTGAGCCATCACCCAGTGCAAACCATCAGCACCTCTCTCCTATCCAGTGGTCCCTGTTCTCACACACTGACTCCTTGTTGGCTTCCTGACAGCCTTCTGGGGCTTCCCCTTGTTCTCAGAACAAGGCTTTGACTGATCATGCTTGTAAGTTCCTCCTCCACACCCATTGACAGAGGCTGAGTACATTATTCTTAATTTTCTTGGGCTGGCTGCTTGTTACTACAGCTCATAAGCCTCACTTCTACTCTTCTCTTTTCATTATGTAGGGGAGGAAAAATAGCTTTTCCTCAAATAATACTAGAATTGAGGCTGAGGACTCTCTTAACAATGAACAGATGAACAGGAAAAAAAAAATCACATTTATTTGCTACAAGTGTTACATGACATGGGAGCCTTTTTGCAATGAAATGAACAGACAGGCAACTGTGTATTTTTATGCTCAGTTTAGATAGAGACTGGACAGTTATTGTGAAATAGAATTACACAAGAGACTGTGATCTCATGGTAGTAAACTGGCCTTGACGAGGCCTGATTGCTCAAAGGCTTCTCTGAGTCTCTGTATGCTTCTCCTGGACCAAGGAAAATACCTCTCACAGAGTTCTTGGCTTCATGGATTGGCTTCATGGGAAGGTCAGAAAGGCATTTGTTTTTATGGCCTGTTTCAGGGGAGATAGGAGAGAGAAAGTGCGTTGATTGCTTTCTGAATTGCCAAGATGCCAGTCTTCAAAGGCTTCATATCATGTACAACTTTATATATAACTTTATATATATATATATCATATACTACTATATATAGATATATTTATATCATTAAGTGCTTTCTTCTTCATCTTTCATTAGCAGGGCTGCAGCCATGAACCCGGTTTTGATGCAGAGGAGTCTTTCCTAAACTGCAGGGTGGTATTTTCAGCATTTGTGTTTGTTGGTGAGGAGAGCACTGCATGGATGTAGATGGTGTAGCAAGCACAAGGTTTTCATCATCTTTTATTTAAAAATAAAAGATGAAATTCAGTAAACTTTTCTGGGAACACAAGGGACCAGACCTTTTCAGGGAGGAGTGGTAATGCTGGCCTTCCTCTAGGACTTAGGCATGCCTGGGCACCTTGGGGCAAGTCTGGAAGACGAGAAATGTAGGATTATCTGGATTCCATTTGCACCAGTGGGTCTGAACATTGCCCATGGCTTAGACTCACCTGAGGAAGTTTGAAAACTCCCCCAGATAATTAAGTCAGAATCTCTGAGGAGGAGATTAAGTCATCCCTAACCTTCACATTTATCAAGGGGGCGGGGCGGGGCTCTTACACGGAACTTGTAAGAAGGTGACAACCGCTGATGTGAGTGTACTGAGGGACATCCTAAGTGTTACTCCATTGGTGCAGTTTTCCTAGGGGTCACTTGATGGAAAATTTTCCTCACTTTCTACAAGATGCCCAAGGGAGAGAGAATCACTTTTCCCCCTCTGGTCATGGTCATAGTAGATAATATGTCTAGCAATGTGTTAGCTAACTTATTTCCAGTATAAAAAAGAAGCTACACTGTAAATAAAGGCACAGTGCTTTTTATGTTTAAGTTCTTATTTGTGAAAAGGCCTTTCTTCCTTTCTCTCTCTTTCTCTTTCTCACTCTTTTTCTCACTTTCTTTCTTTCTTTTTCTTTCTTTCTCCCCCCTTCTCTTTCTCTCTCAAGGAGCTTGAACTCAGGTTCTGGGCATTGTCCCTGAGCTTTTTTTTTTGCTAAAGGCTAGGCTTTACTACTTTGAACCACGGCTTTACTTCTGGTTTTCTGGTGCTTAACTGGAGATAAGAGTCCAAGGGCAGGAAACTCCTTCGAAACTAGGATTACAGGTGTGAGCTACCAGCGCCTGGCTATAAAGACCTTATTTTTAAAACCACTTCTAGTTGGAGATGTGATGATAACTTAAATCAAAGATGTTCAAAAATGATACGTTCTTCTAAATCCAGCCTGAAAATTCATGTTGGGGGTCTTTGGGAGTGAGGGGCTATAATAAAAGTGTGAACAAACAACCCCAGAAAGTGTGTTTTCTTGGTGATTGTTGAATCAACTTCTTTAGGTGGAGAGATCTCTGAAACAAAGGATTTACTGTGCCTTATACAAAAAGACCCCTTTCAGGGATAAGTTCCAGCAGCAAGCTAGACAGTAGTTGGAAAAATGTCTGCCAGACCAGTAAGTCAAGAGCAATTTGTTTATATAAACAACTCAAGGCAGAGTAAATAGGTTATAGGTAAGAGGGGCTGGTTAGGATGGTGTGGGGGAAATCTGAGGTAAGAGGACTGTCACTAAAGGAAGAATTTGATGCTTTGTTGTGTGGTTGTTATTGTTAAGGTGATGTACAGAGGAGTTACAGTTACATAAGTCAGGTAATAAGTACATTTCTTTTTGAACAGTGTTACCCCTCCCTCATTTTCTCCCAGTTTTTCCATACCTAACCCCTTTCCCCCAAGTAGTATAGTTTGTTTCCAACATAGTATCTGTGAAGTGTCACTGCTGAATTAGTTCACCCTTTGTCCCACTATTTCTGTGCTTCTTCTTCCTCTCTACAAATCAGATAAACTTATATACAAGGCAAAGGGTACAGAAATTAAAAAAAAAACCGTGCAAAACGAAAAAAAACAAAAGAAAGAAAGAACTGCAAGCAGTTGTTTCATTTCTTGGAGTTCATTTCAATACTCATTATCTTATATGACCATATTCACATAGCTCTTCAGCCTTTGTGATCCTGTCTTAAGAATATCCTCCTTCGGTCTCACTGTGTGAATGTTTAGAGTCCTGTTTCATTTGTCATGTCCAAGTGTAATTTTTCCGTCTTTTACTATCCATTGGGTTTACTTGTAGATTTATAGGCACATTGTAATGATTAGAAATGAGGGAAAACATGCAGCCTATGTTTCTTTGGATCTGGCTTACTTTGCGTAAGTAATTTTTTCCAAGTCTTTCCATTTCCTTACAAATAGGGCCATGCCACTCTTTCTGATGGAAGCACAGAATTCCACTGTGGATATGTACCCCCATTTTTTGATCCACTTCTTCACTGGATTGTTCATCTGCGTTGATTCCACAGCCTTTATTTTTTGAGACAAAGTGTCACTATGTAGCCCAGGCTGGCCTCATCATTTTCTGCCTCAACCTCCAGAGGACTGGGATTACAGATGTGTATCACTATACCCAGCTTATAAGATGTACACATTATTAAAACATTATACATTATATATATATAATGTATAATATATATACATTATATATATATAATGTATAATATATATACATTATATATATATATATAAAATTATACATTTTTTTTTTTTGGTCGGTTGTGGGGCTTGAACTCTGGACCTGGGTTCTGTCCCTCAGCTCTTCAGCTCAAGGCGAGTGCTCTACCACTTGAGCTACAGCGCCACTTCCGGTTTTCTGGTGGTTTATTGGAGATAGGAGTCTCACAGTCTCTCCTGCCCGGGCTTGCTTTGAACCTCGATCCTCAGATCTCAGCCTCCTGAGTAACTAGGATTACAGGCGTGAGCCACCAGAGCCCGGCAAATTATACATTTTAAATACCACCAATTAGATAGTTAGGTCTCTTAACTGAGATTCCAGGTATCTTTGTGTTTTCAAATATACTTTAGAAAGTATAAAGTGAAACATATTCCTGAGACTATTTAATTGTGTTTTTCATGTATACATTTTCTTATCCCTTCATCTTCTTTGGCAGCTTATCGTGTCATAGCTGAATAAGTTCTTGTTGGGATAAATTATAAATAAGTGGCCATTTGTCCTAAGATATTTGATATTGTGGTAAATCAGGCCTTGGTGACCTTCAAATGAAGAGGAGTGGGGTTGGGAAGGTGGCTCAGTGGTAGAGGGCTTGCCTTGCATGTCTTGCATGCATTAGGCCCTGGGTTCGATTCCTGAGCACCATATAAACAGAAAAAGCTGGAAGTGTTGCTGTGGCTCAAGTGTAGAGTGCTAGCTTTGAGCTGAAGAGCTGAGGGACCCCAGGCACAGAGTTCAAGCCCCATGGCCAACAGTTATAAAAATGCATGGAACCTTATTGCTATGTAGAAAAAGACAAGACTGATGCTCACTGCTAGAAGTCAAGGCAGTGCTTACCAAATTTTTGTGATTAGGGTAATAAGTGGAAGAGGCTACAAATAGGACTTCCAGGGTTATGATCTCTGCCTGGCACAAGCATATGTACAGGTTACAAAGTTTCTTTGGTGTGTATGTATTCTATTTCAAACAAAACTTTTAGAAAAGGAGAGAAGTATTAGGAGTAGTAATGGATCCATCTTAATGTGTTGGGATGAACATTTAGACACACACTTTTTAATTTTTAATATTTTAAAGGTGATGTACAGAGGGGCACAAGTAAAGAGTGCATTTCTTTTGGACAATGTCACCTGACACACAACCTTTTCTAATTTGTTTTGATTATTAAAAAAAAAATCTGGGGCTGGGAAGGTGGCTCAGAGCGCTTGCCTTGCATGCCCGAGGCCCTGGGTTCGATTCCTCAGCACCACACAAGCAAAAAGAAAAAAGCCGGAAGTGGCACTGTGGCTCAAGTGGTAGAGCGCTAGCCTTGAGCTGAAGAGCTGAGGGACAGCACCCAGGCCCAGAGTTCAAGCCCCACGACCAGACAAAAAAAAAAAAAAATCTGTTCTGACCTCATCCCTACAGTCATGACTAGAAATACAAAGTCAAATCCATGCTGAACTTTTAACTACAGGAATAAAAGCATTCTGTTTTATTTTCCTGGTGCCTCTTAAGAAAGTCCTTTCTGTATTGCTCTTGGAGAGAAGACATTTTCATTGTTCTTGCTGCCCCCCCCCCCCAAAATAGTTTGCTTTGTCAGATAGGCACACTCAGCTGCTCATATGTTATGTGATAGTCCACAAAGGAGGCACCCAGAGGAGATAGAGAACTGGTGGGAAATAACTTGAAACTCTCTACAGGGAATTCTTGTGTGTCTGCTCAAATCTGTGCAGAATGTGCCTAACTAATACACTCTTAGTGACAACTGTCAGGACATTATTTAAGTATTTAATTTGACTCATGCTATGAGTTGAGGTCCATTTGCTCTGTTCAAAAATGGATTACCATTAAAGTCACCTTCTGAGAAGCATTACAATTCTTGAACTATTACAAAAAATAATTACAACTAACTCCTCTAATTTGATACCTATTTTAATATATTTATCCAAATAGCCATTATTCATTGTTATAGCCTTGTTTACATACACACACACACACACACACACACACACACACACACACACACATACACACACAGCACATGCAAGTTAGGGAACACATCCCTCTCAATATCTGTCTGACAAATTTTCAAGTCTCTTCCACTAGCTTTTCCATGGTGGACCAGGCCCCTCTGGGAAGGCCTGTGTAGTGCACAGTACTACTGTGGTAGCGTGAATACATTTACCTCAATAAGAGTGAAGTATTAGCATGTCCACCTGGCTGGGAATCCCTCAGTGCCAGCTTGGACAGTCATCATATGTTCAGGTTCTTTGCTTGGATCCTGTTTCTGTTTCTCAATGGCTCCAAGCACGAGCAAAGAGTAAAAGTAGACTTTATTTACCAGCAACTAATATCCCAACTACATGTAGAGAAGGTAAAGTAGAAATGCTGCTGTGGCCACTTACAGCTGGGTGACTGAGGTTGCTTCACGTTTCTGTACTTTACTTTCCTATGGTGAAAAGATGAGCTTAATGATTCCTACATTATGAAGCTGTGTAGCACATCAAAAAGTACTTATTAAATGTCACTTGTAAAATGTCACTTGTTAAATGTCACAAAACCTTATCATCTGTTCAGTGCATTTCCAGAAATTCACCTTGCTTTTTCATTGCAATTGATAGTTGCTAAATTTTTTATGTATTAAAATTCCATAACTTATCTCTCAACCTTTGTTGTCTCCTCTTTAAACAGTTATCTTGAATTTGGGGAAAAGAGGGTAGAATAAGTATAAGTTGGTCAATTTTTGCCAATAGTGACCAAAATAAATTAAAAGCCACAGTAGGGAGAGGAAGTTTTGATAGCCTTAAAACCAGGAAATGATATCTATGTAACTTCATAAACATTGAGCAATGGTTCTTAGAGACAGTAGAGCTTGACCTAGATGAAAGAAAGTATCTATAATTAACCTTAACACACTGTGCCCAGTTAATTAAAAGGCTGATGAATAACAGGACTATCAAAGGATCTGAGCAATAAAATAACTAAGAGCGACCTTCATGTTCTCATAGCTTTTTAGATTATCCACTATTCTGGTCAATTGAATCATCCCATCTCCCTTGAATATCCATAGTCTGAAATCAAGACGATTCTTACAATGCAATCTACAATAAAATTGTCACACAACACTTTTATCAAGCAACCAACATACCTTTCCTCCTTGTTGCTATTTTGTCCTGCAGGACCCTCTACTCAGATGAAAATGACTAGTATAATGAGTAGTTGTGTACAGAATGTTCAAGCAGAGGGCATACTTCCTTCTCCAGCTCTATAGAACAGTTAGTGGTGTTAATCTAAGAAGTACAGAGTCAGGAAGGAAAATAATTTAGATTTGCTTCTTCATTTTAGTCAATTAGTCACTAGTCACTTCCCTTCCCCACTCTACCCAGATCTAGGTTGTTAGTTGTAAGGGTAATTCAGAATTCAGAAATAGAAGACTTCTTAGAGGGGCTTGGTATGATTTGAGTGTCTATGGCTTTATCAGACTGGAGATATAATTTATAATAGTATTTCAACACTCACAGCAAGCAATATTCTTACCCATGTACATTTTGTTTGAAGTTGTCAATTTATTTGAGTCAACACATAAATGGCAATTAATAAAATTGCTTCCATCATGAGTGTTGTTTTGCTCCTATGAGCATTCTATAAATCTTTGCATCCATTCTGATGTAGAGAGTTCATTATTTATGTTGATGTTGAAACTATTGATTTGATACTTATTCTCAGCATATTTTCTATATATTCTTTTGCAAATGGAAAAATAAACTGTATGTTCTGTCAAATTTATTATATATATATGTATATATATATGTATATATATATATACATATATATATATCCATTCAACCGATTTCAGCTTTGTTTCTCAGTTTTTAATGAAGCCTTATCTTGTTTGTCCCCTACTCAGCATTAGTGAGGTATAATCAATAAATAAAAAGTATGTATTTAAGGTAACTAGAATATAGAACATGAATCTAGCTAACTACAGGATTACTTAAGAGGAGAAAGAAAAGGGGAAAAGTAAAAGAAAAGATAGAAGGTGAATAATTTTGAAGCACATTGCAAGTATATGTAAAAACTGTGCAAAGAACCTCCATGAAAGCTGTTGATCAAGAGGGAAGCAATGAAAGAGAACAAGCTCTATCATGATGGATACCAGCAGAAGGGGGTTGGGCTAACACAGAGGATGAAAAGGAGTATTATGAAGTAGATTGTATGTATGAAAACTAACAGTGAAACATGTTGAAATTGTGCTAGAGAGAAGGGGAGAGTAATAGAGGGTGAGTTTGGTTGGCCTAAGTTATAAACATGCATAGAACTATAAGTTCATAAGTAATATAACAATGTTGTATGTTGTATATATCTAGGAATTATCCATTTCTTCCAGACATTCTAATTTCTTGATGCATAGTTGTTCATAGTACCCCCTATGACCCTTTGTTATCATATCTCACGTCTTTCCTTTTCTTTGATTTTGCTACTGCTGGGGGTTAAACTCAGGGCCTAGGCACTGTCCTTGAGCTTCTTTTGCTCAAGGCTAGCACTGTACCACTGAAGCCACAGCTCTACTTCTGGCTTTTTCTGTTTATGTGGTACTGAGGAATGAAACCCAGGGCTTCATGCATGCTAGGCAAGCATTCTACCACTAAGCCACATTCCCAGCCCAACCTTTTCTTTCATCTATAATCTTGTTCTAGTCTTTCATGTTTTCTTTAACTAAAGCTTTGTCAAATTTGTTTATCTATTCAGCAAACCAGCTCTTAGTTTCACCATCTTTTCTCTTTTTTGGTTGTTGTTCAATTTCACTCACCTTGTCTCTGACATTTGTTATCTCTTTCTGTTAACTTTGAGTTTATTCTTTCTCAAGTTTCTTTTAAGACAGATTATTTAGATACGATCTTTTGTATTGTAGCCACTTATCACTATAAAATTCCCTTTTTAAATTAACTGTTCGTTATATTCTGTAGGTATATTAGAATACTCTTCTTGTTCTTTACCAGAGTTGGAGAAGGCTAGTTCCTCCACAAACCCTTGTATTGGAGCTCGGAAAACCCCACTTGGCTCTTCCAGCTATACTGTGTGGTTTTATTCTCCCATGTCTATGATAGTTCCCCTTACTCTCATCTCTTCCAATTTTCCCACCTCCACCATCATCATTCAGGTGTGGCTTTGGGTTCAGGCTACTTACTACTTACTAGCTTCTAGAGACTAAATAGTAACTTTAACCCAATCTCATGGACAGGTCTTCCCGCAACCACCTCTCTCAGGTGTAGAGAAACTCTACCTCACACATACCCTGGCTCATTCCTCTTTACAGCCTATAAGGCATTGCTATCTGCTGCTTTCAGTGACTTACTTATTAGGATGGTTTTTATTCTGTTTGTTGGCTTCTGTATTAAGCAGTCTTCTCTCTCCAAAGCTTTAGGAAACCCGTGGCACAGGGAAATATGAGGACCTCTGTGATTGTACTATGTTCACTGTTAACCTCTCTTCCCTTTTTGTTAGCTCTGCTGGGTTCATGAGCCAGCCTCAAATATTTCACTTGTTCCAGCAAAGATGTCATTATGATAGATTTCTTATATGAGAATTGCTGAATCAAAGGATGAGTGCATTTCAGTGATTACAGAAGCTGTTAGAATGGTTGTATTGATTCACTCTTTGCCTAGCAGTGAGGGCAGCTATTAGAGCCTGATTTTCCTTTACAAACTGGGGAGTCACCAAGATTTTGCATGAGCAGCCAAGGTGCTATTTTGGCTAAATTCTCTGAGTGCATTTTATCTTTCTGCTATTGAAAATTCCACAACTCCTGGGTTGCCAGTTTAGATCCAGTAGGAGATGTCTTTGTGGATCCTGAGTAAGCGTTTTCTCTTTTTAAAATTTAATTTTTATTGTTATTATAAAGGTGATATACAAGGAATTATAATTATGTAAGTCAGATAAAGAGTACATTTCTTTTTGGACAATTTATCCCCTTTCCTCGCTTTAAAGGATTAATTCCTAGAGACTTGGTTCTAAGGAAGTAGATGGCAAGTATGTGTGGCATGCATACCAAGACTGGATTTTGAAATAAACTGAAACATGGAACATGGAAGTCATAAATGCTTGGAAAATATTGTCATTTTAACATTTTTGAAGGGGAGGAGTTTAGAGTTCTCACTAGGTTGCCACGTGACCTGGGTAAAAACCAAATAGTCCTTATCAAATCCTTGTGGGGGAGGGGGGGAAAAGACTATTAAATGAACATTTCCCATGAAAAAACTGTGATCTTAAGTTAGGTAATTTGTTTGTGGTTATATAAGTGACTGTTAAGATTGATTGAAATCGTGTTTCTCTGACAAAGAGAATAAGGACGGGGAAGTAAGCATTTTCTTTCATGTCTGTGGGATTTCTTTCCTAATGCTATGCTCTGTTGATACTTTCAAGGCACATTTTCTTGCTTCATCAGGAGTTTGTGTTTATCTAAAAAGATATATAACTTTCCATTTCATTGATCTTTTCTAATATTTTTCTAGTGCTACTTCATATGTCTCATTTCGATGCTTATTGCTTCTTTCTGCTAACTTTTGGCTTAGTTTATTCTTCTGTCTGTCAGGTCTTCACCAGACAATGACTCTGAAGTCAACTTGATTTCCATAAGTATAAGAAATGATTCTTTTATTTTATGTTGGCTGTCCATCCTGTGATAATTTTGTTAACGCAGCCCTGAAGAGACTAAGAGGTAGTGAGGATTCAGGAAGAAGATAAAAAGTATTTGTTTCCAGCTGTGGACTGAGCTCTAACTGTCTGACCTGAATAGTGCTAGGGAAACTCTTTTATTCCTCATTAAAAGCAGAAACTTAAACCACTTTTTAATACTAAAAAAAAAATTCCTGCTGGCTTTCCCAAAGGAAATTACAATGAATAGCTTCCTTATAGTTCAGTGTTTGAACAATGAGGAATAAACCAATAGCAAGTATTCGGTCACTGCTAAATCTCCCGAATTATGCTGTGCTTTTTATCTGTATGAGAAAACCAGCTCTCAATTTCGCAGAACTCTCCATGGCTTTCTTGAGTTGTGGAATTAAAATAGCGTGTTTATGACACTTTAGGACATTCAATGGTGGGTAACTATCTGAAGTGGAGAAAATGCTATGGAAAATGAACTTGTCGGCTCTATAGTATATTACATACATGACAGTCTGATGGTGCCATAGTGTAAATATTTGTGTTTATATAGCCTCACTCCCCTCCCACCCCCAATTCATATGAGGAAGTGGGGCTTCTGGGAGATTGTTGGAGAACAGAACTTTCATTAATAGATTGCTGTCCTTGTAAAATAGTACTTTCCACTATGTGAGGACAGCTGGAAAATGCCATCTACGCATCAGAGAAAGAGCCTTCACCAGACACAGAATCTGCTAATAATTGTATTTTTTACTTCCAAGTCTGAGTGGGAAAAGAAATTTTTGTTGCTTGCTAGCTTCTGTGTCTGTGGTGTTTTGTTAGACCAGCCTAACCAGACTTAGACATCTGATAATAAGGACACTAACAGGTATTTGGAATTTTAGAGATATTTTAGACAGAGGTAAAAGTGCTAAGCAGTAATGTAAGAAAATTAGCAGATAATATCATCTTAGGGAGCTCTTGTTAGCTGCTGTATGTCCTTATTTCTAATTTCCATGGCAACCCTATGTAAGAATGCAACTTCTTCTTTTTCTTCTTCTTCTTTTTTTTTTTGAAACTCAAGGCATTGAGTTTCTTTGTGCTCAAGGCTAGTGCTCTACAACTTGAATCAGAGTACCACTTCTGGCTTTTATGGGGTAGTTTATTGGGGAAAATAGTCTCATGCATTTCCGGCTGGGGCTGGCTTTGAATTGTGATCCTTAGATCTCAAGTCTCCTGAATAGCTTGGATTATAGATGTATGCCACTGGTGCCCAGCTGCAACTTCTTTTTAAGTGCAGGCTGGAACTTAAAAGTCTGCATGCCGTGCCCAGAGCCTCATGACTAATAAGTAATTGTGCAGGATTTAAACCTATATTTACATTGCTTCAAAATGTTTTCTATTCTCATGGTAGTGTACTTTTCACCAGCTAAATTGGAATTAGACACAAGCAACACATTTATTTAGTATAAATATGTCCTAAATATCTCATGCGGTCATACTCATTTTGTTTCTCTGAAGTTCAAATTTCACTGAATGCCCTGCATTTTTTAAATAGAGCAAGTAAATTTGACCAGTAAAAT